TGTGTGTGTGTGTGTGTGTGTGTGTGTGTGTGTGTGTGTGTATGCATGATATTTTTACAATAATATAGCTTTATATAAGAATTAATATTTACCGTGCAGATTAACGTTTAAGTGATCGAATTTGCTATTATTTGTTAAATTTACTACATTACTTATTTGGGATAGTTTAAAAACTACTAAAATAATAACACAGATCAATGCTGTAATAAAATAATATTGGCATTCGTAACACGATGGTATGGACGTTATCGATTATCCGCGATTATGAAAGCTGTCATTGCATTCTTTCTTATTAATTGAAAAAGTTTTTCTCAGAGTTCTTCTTTTTTATCCTATTTGATAACGAATATACTTGTTCATAGATCCGTATTATTTGCATTTAATAGAAAAACCGCAGCTGTTTTTATAATTGATTTATACGTATAATATACAAGTTATCAAATGCAGAACGGTTTAACCGGACTTCACCGCCGTTTAACGGTAATAAAACAACGAAATAATTTCGGAATAATTATCAGGCGCTACCGATGGTCACGGTGATAGCCGGGAGGTCTCACGGTGGTAAGAAAACCAGAGTTCTTTCCTTGAACGACGTAGTCGGCGCTACAAACGAATTCGAATTTGAAGCTGGAAGTCGAACTGATATTAAACCAGGAGAACCAAAATGGGCGAACTATATAAAAGGATGCATCGCCAATTTCATTTGTAAGTTACTTGCGACTTCAATTATCATGATCCTTCACATAATTTATTCAGAATCTCGAAATTAAAGAAGCCAGAAGCTCAATTAAATCCACAGTTAAAAAACGTTTATCAAGAAAGTTGAATATAAAAATCGACGATCGCGATAATCCTGGAACACAACGCAACTGACTAATATACATTTTTAGGTGACGTACCCGCGTTTAATGCCGTAATTGTATCGACTGTGCCAGCAGGCGCCGGACTTAGTAGTTCTGCGGCTCTAGAAGTAGCGACGTACACCTTCTTGGAGACCTTGAGCGGGAAAAAACCGGAGAAACCAGAGCAGAAGGTAACTACGATCTTTCAGCGATCATCATTTTTTCTAACAGTATAACAATAATATAATGTGACATTAGGTAATATATATGTAATTTCTTATAGAACTAATAATTGCTTATAACTATCATTTTAAACCGAGTAGCACATCATAATGATATAGCGAAATTTATAAATAAAATCGCTGTTCATCGCGCGCGTCTGAGATTTGAATAGACTCTTTGTAAAAATTTTTTAAAGGCTAAGAAACTCTTTTCTATATTCTGAAATATCCATCCATTCGTCCGTCCATTCATCTTTTCATTCATCCATGTATCACAACTGAATTACTCCTACCTTATACAATTTTTAATTAATCCCAAATAAAAAACATATTATACATGGGTGTATTTACATGTTATACGTAGGCTTTAGCATGTCAAAAAGCGGAGCATGACTTTGCTGGAGTGCCGTGCGGTATAATGGACCAGTTTATCTCAGCGATGGGCAAGGAAGGCTGCGCGCTTTTGCTCGACTGTCGCGATCTTGTCACTAAGCAAATACCCATGCTGCACATAGATAACTACGTTTTTCTCATAACGAATTCGAACGCACCGCACAAACTGAGTTCGAGCGCCTATTGCGAGCGTAGAGATTGTTGTTACGAAGCCGCGAAAATGTTGGGCAAGAAGAGTTTGAGAGATGCAAATATGAATGATATCCTAGGTAATGATAGAAGATTTTATGTATATATACATATATCCTTTAATTTTATAATATTCTTCACTTGAATTTTATTTTATTAATTAGGTTGCCACTCTTCGTTTCTCTATACATGACAGACTAACATGTTTTTAGCCTTAACATCGCGAAATGCGTCCGATTGTATTGTGAAAAGAGCTCGTCACGTGGTCACGGAAATTCAACGAACTCTGAATGCTGCGGTGGCGCTTGAGAAAGGCGACTTTCAGCAATTCGGACGATTGATGAATGAAAGTCACGATTCATTGCGCGACGATTACGAGGTCTCGTCCAAGGAGCTTGATTCACTGGTCTCGGCGGCCAGGGAGGTAGACGGCGTGTTAGGAAGCCGTTTGACAGGCGCGGGCTTCGGTGGTTGCACCGTAACTTTATTGAGAAAGGACGCGGTGGATAAGGCAATTCAACATATGAAAGCAAAGTTAATATCCTTTCCGTCTGTATTAAGTTAAGCTTTGCTCCGTTTTATATAAATGCTATTAAAATATTTTCACTTATAGATATCCCGGCACGCCTGCATTCTACATAGCGACTCCGTCCGGAGGTGCTCGAGAAATCAGCGTCAACTAGTACTATTAATATTAATTTCTCAAATATATACATGTACATATTTTACAGTGTGATATTTCATACAGTATCATTAACAATTGTACGATACTTTGAAATACATAATTTTTCAAGATGTACATATATCTTAAATTGTTTGCTCGTGTTTATCGAATGCACATTTTTTCGTGGCACGAGCGTGGAATTCTGATATATTTACAGTGAATTAAGTTATTTACAATGCATGTAAAACTGTCACTATTTGTGTGCGTTTATTTTAATATACGATGAGAGATGGTCTGTTATTAGTGTTACAAACAAAAAATAATTTTTAAACCGTAAAATTTGTAGTCGTCGCTTATTATTGATTAGAGTTATCAAGAAATAAAAATAGAGTATGCAAACGAGTATTGAATACGCTAACCTAATTGTGACTATAGGTATATTTACTGTAAAATGAATGCATGGGCGGAGCGTGACTGCCAGTTAAGACCTTCGTGAGGGTCAAGATTAAAATCAAGGTAAAAGTCATCGAGATTAAAATTATCCAAGCTACGCCCGTTAAAATGATTAATGATGAAAACAAAAAAATTTAATTTAATTTTCTGTACTACCTACTTTCTATTTCTTTATATATATACAGAATTATTATATTTTCTGTATTGTATTACTAATAATGCAGACCACTCTGTGTACTTATCTAATTCGAAGAGAGTAAATTCGAAATGTACATTCTTATCGGAGTATACATATATAGACTTCCGCCTTTCATAAGTACAAAAATATTATACTGTATAGCGTACATTTACAAGATGCATGCTAAATTGATAGCTTGTGCTCATAAATATATACGTACATATATACAAAATATATTTAATTGGCTAAATTTGAAAGTAGCATTTTGCTTCACAGTAATACTGTGCCTTTAACGAAAACGCCACGGTACTTTCACTATAATACTGATGCTTACTAAAGAGGGAAAAATATTGTCCAAAATTATCCCCATCTCTATCTATTATATATTTAATATCGATTGAGAGTCTCGGTTGAGTTCGTGTATTCTAAAATAAAAACGTGAGATTTAGAAGATATATTTTATACATATAGAGAAGGAGAGCCACTATAAAAATCGACTTACCTTTAAGATGGTCGTTGAGTTCGAGTTCGCTGGAGCTGCACGTGAGCCCCGACGGTTTCACACCTTTAAAGATCTCGATAACGCTCGGTTTCAAGTTATGAAAGATTAATGGTTGGCCCCGTTTAGTAAAATCCTCTATCAAAGTCTTGATAACCTGAAGAAAGGTAAGTCGGTTAGAGGTACGATACGTTTAATTAATGTGACGAGACTTTATTTCTCTCCCATGATATGTACTCACCTTTGCAGCGGTGAAATCGGCCGCCTGGATATGCGTAGAATCTATTACGACGGGCACGGCGGTACCCTCTCGTAATCCCTGCTTGCTAATGACGGCTCGTACGTATTCAACGCTTGGAAACACCAGACTTCGATCCGGAGTTATGACAAGATATTCACAACCGCTAATACTCTGTGAAAAAAAAAGCAATACGCTAATGTACATTTTCTAAATTACAACTCTAAATTGCAAAAGATGACCTTAAATTTTTTCGGCTATCTTTTTTAATTAGCATTTTCATTTTCGACTGCATGTTTACGATTATGCTACTAAAAACTTAGCTGTGCTTACCGTAGCTTTATGAACTCGTAACGTCGGTCTGGCCGAGGCATAAAGTAGGAACAAAAGATTTACACCGATGCCGATCACGATGCCCAGTTCGAGTCGTATGAAAAGACAACACAGGAACGTGGTTATGGCCGGTATGAGATCAATTTCTGAAAATAACGGTGCGTCAGTTTGTAACGTGATCTTTGTTAAGAAAACATAAAAAAAAACTATATATAATAATGATGAAATGAGAAGAATTAATTAAGATGACTTCAACCAAATTTTGATTAACTTATCAATTAGTATTTCGTTAATGTGGGTAGAATTATTTTTTGTTGTTTAACATAATGGGGAAAAAAGACTAAATTATAAACGACAAACACAAAAATTTTACTTTATGTAATTTTGCCTGTTGAATTAATTCAAATTTATTGGAAAAGTTAATCATTCATTAATAACCGAATGCGATCAGATAATAAATGTGAGTATAAAGCAATGCAAAAAAAGTAGTGACTAATAAAGATCCAAAAATTAATACGTGAGCTATATAATGACCTAATAAAAATAATTAACAAAGAACGCCACAAACATTTTGGTCCACTTTGAATTCTCTTTGAAAGAATCTTTATGATTCCCTTCTACAATTATAATCTATGTATATATATATTTATTAATCTGTAACTGTTTATAAATTCTAATTAGCTCTTTTTTTTTATATTAAGCAAGAGAAGGCGTACTTTTGCTTCGCCACATTGGCTTCACCACCTGGAACTCCACCATGAAGACAACTGCGGCAATGATGACGGCCGCCAGGGCGGCCTTGGGTATATAATACAGATAAGGTGTGAGGAATTGCAACGATATAAGTACTAATAATCCAGTGTAGACTCCACCGAGCGTCGTCTTCACCCCAGACGAATGGTTGACCGCGCCTCGGCTGAGACCACCGCTCACAGGCATTGATGATACGAACGATGAAATCACGTTGCACACACCCAACGCCAACATTTCCTGAGTCGCGTCTATCGACTTACCCTCAGCTAGATACAATGTAGTAGATACAACGTCGATTATTTGAAGACAGAAAATACATTTATTTTATACATCAATTTGCCGCTTTAAATAAAAAAATTATTTGAAATGAGAAAGGATTTACTCATCTTAAAATAATCTTGATTTTCACATATATCGTCAAGTTTAAGCACTCACAGAATACTTTGGCGATGGAGATGGTTTCTAGCAAGCTTAGCATGGGGACGACTAGACAGCCAGTGCCCAAAGCGGAAATCATGTCGATGAAAGTATACGTCTCGTTCCCGACCCGAGCTTCAAAAGGTGGCAAACGAAATTCTGGTAGTCCTTGCTTTACGTGGCCTGTTAAAATGACGGGCGATTCTCCCAGATGCTTCTCGAGGACCCAACACATCACCGCGCAGACAATCACAATGATAATGTTTCTGGCAGTGGAGATCAGCCAGAACGACATCGTGATAACTTGTTGAAGCCGCGACGGTACTTTAGTATTTTTCGGCACTATCGGCAAATCTTTCATCTTCTAAATAAATACAAAAATATTCTGCTTATATTCTTTAATCTCTCTTATCTTATATTTTTATTAAGTAAAAATATTATAGCCGTAATGAAGAATATAATCGAGGGAGATATGTTTAAATACCGAAACAACAGGTAAGCTAAGTTATTATCTATGTTAACTTTAGCAAAACAAGTTATTATCTATATATATATACTAAAATGCAATAATGTTTTAGTTACTCGGAGAAGTAGAAGAACGATTATGCAGACAACTCCCAAAGCGGTATCCCAACGTCTCGTCTCGCCGATATGCTCGAAGATGCTTTGCCAGACCTGCACGAACTTGGTGCCGGAAACTTTGAGCCCAAGAATATCTTTTACCTGGCTGGTGGCGATGATAATCGACGCCGCCGATGTGAAACCAACGGATACTGGCCCCGATATAAAATCCAGTAAGAATCCTAATATCGTCGGAAGAATAAAAAATAATTTAATCATATATTAAAAATGTATCATAAATAACAATATAAAAAATAAACGTGTACATATATGTCAAATATATTACGTATAAAATATATTAAATAAAAAATATTATATAAAAATTAAATAAAAATCGTGTGAAATAAAGACCGTTAATTTTTGGATCCATAAATGTGATAATTCGCAAATTACATCAATTTCAATTTTTAAATATCTTTATAATGTTACCTAATTGCAAAATGCCCATCAAAAAGGAGACGCAGCCCGAGACGAAACACAGCAATACGGCGAAGTCGGGTCCTAGATGAGCCTTTTGTAAAGTTTCTCTCGTTAAAATCGCGGCGATTGCGGTCGGTCCGACAGGTACATCTTTCCAAGAGCCGAAAATTGTATACACGAAACAGGCCATGAAAGACGAGTAGAGTCCATACTGTCCAAACAAAATATTTTTTTATATTAATATCAATGATATTGACATTTTATAAAAATCGCATGCTCAAATCAGTTGCATAAATCATATTTTCTTATAAAACTGTAGAACTTCTTTTTGAAATATTTTTCTAAAATGCGAAACAACAGAAAGAGAGAAATATTTGAGATAAAGCAATAAAATAGTCCATCCACCCAGTACATAACCAGTCCGATATGTGGTCAGTTTTCTGTATACAAACAAGCACCAGATTCAGTGGTCTCTCTCACCGTTTGTATATTTTAGATATCTCAAAATCGTGTATTTTGTAACGTCCTCCTGAAAAAATAGACCAAAAAACGAAGAGAAAAAAGACCAACGTAATGACCAATTTTCATGCTAGGTACCGGTTTCAAATGCTTATTCATGATTATTGCATGATATTCAAGGTTGATGAGCTCCTAAATTCGCGGATATTTTCCAGTGTGTGTAATCCAGATATTTATAATATTTCATAATTCATAATTAATAATATCCTTTTACATTATAGTCAATACGTTGAGTGATACAAGGAGATCCTGAAGTGACGGCAATTATCAATATTTACCCAGACAGGACCATGTCCAAAATCGGGACACAAGACATCGTAAAAGAAGTCCTGCTTTTAGACATGTGTGCTGTCTGGGCAGTTTGACCAATTTCTTTCTTCGAATTGGCTTTACAGAATGTATCAGTATATAGCTTACGTGTATGTACAACAATCAAAAGTGTCCCGGCACCTCGGACTAGATCAAAGAACAGCATTGCATCATTGAAGGCTTGAAGCTAAAATTAAAAGCCTAATGAGAAAGAATTTCATTTCAACAGATTTTAAGTATGTAGTACACACACGCAGTGTAGGCGTTGCAATCTGACAAGGATTGGTATATCCCGTATGATATCTGAGATGTCTCGTTAGATGAAGACAGATATAGGCCGGTAACATAGGAAACGGTAAATAAATTATTGACATTTTTAATTCCACAGATTCCGCTTAGATGAGGACGCTTCGTCGGAGTCACTGGAGTACTGGAGTCGGCCGTCACTTCAGGAGCCATTATTTTGTACTTAAATATATATGTATGTGCTTTTACCTGTAACGGTAATCCCGCGACGTTGGCGTATGCTATGGCTTGCGGAATTACGGTGAGGCCTACGGTGATACCAGCTACCAGATCGCTCACCACGTATTCTTTCCGGTAATTCGGCAACCACGTTAGAATCGGTATTCGCTTGAATACCAGCTTCTTCCTGCAAGACCTTCTGACCCTTCGGTAGAGCCAGCTTCTTCCGGAGGTACATAGACCACTCTTGTCAGAATCTTGTGGTACTAAAAATTACGGTAAAAATATGTACAAAACACGCTCTAAAAATAACAGTTGTATTATTTAGCAAGAATAGATTCACAAAGAAATATATATCAAGTCAAAATTTTTTCCCATGCAAATTAAAAAATTTTAGTCGTGTTTTTCACATTTATTCCGTACAATATGATATTTCAGTCAAAATTACAATAGTTACTCGAATATTGTGTTAGCTGAAATATTTTTAAGCTGAAACGAAACTTATTGAGTTCTCATATGACTTTCGAAAAATGTGATATGGACGTGAGAGATATATTTGCGCATGACGAGTCGACATTTAAAAATCACTCAGGAATAAGTGATAAATCAAGAAATGTCACACGCCATAAAAAGAAGCGATTCCATTACAGAGCGTAATAACACTTCCATTTCGTATCAAATTTTGTATACTATCATTACGTTGACGCATTAACGATAATTTATATATTTTTTGTACTCATCAGAGTGTCGCTTCGTAAAATTATTCGTGTTCTTAATTTTAGCGGAAGAAGAGGCGAGTACCTAAGTCGAATATACAGGATGCCAAGACAAATTACTCTTTACGCATCATGCTGGTGGGCCTCAAATCGCTTATCTCGCGCGTAAGCAATTTGAATTTATTTGGTCATGTGACAATTTATGTTGACCTTTTCAAATACCGTCTTTAAAAAATAACACGCTTGAAGTGCACGACGTCGAAAAATTTAACGAATGCCGTTCTTATTTCAGATTTGACATAAAACCGAAATTTTCATAATGGATGAATTGCAGTGAAGACTTATCGCACAAAGAAGTATGTATATACGAGGAAAAAAAACAGTAATATAGGTATGTGGTTTACATTTTATTATTCTCAACAGAGCTCGTTATAATCGCAAAACAATAATTAAACGAGAATAAACACAATTAACTCAATTTTAATTAGAATACGAAACGAAACGTGTTTAATTCGCGTTGCATTTTCGAGCATCGTGTAACGCACGAAGTTCAAGAATACCAATTCTGTCTGTGTTTATATAATATTATTGGTTGCGGCAGTTTCCGCGAATCTCATAATTCTAACATGAGGAAGGATTAAATTTTACGGTCGATTATCCTTTATACGATACTACTTCGCGACTTACGTAAGCGTAGCAATTTATCGGCACGGTTTTCTTATTGATTTTTAATTAATCAGTATCAGAAAGTATCGCGCAAAGCGTAAATGCTGCAGCAGCGGTAAAACACCTAATCAAAAATGGGACAGCGCGAATCTGCATAAAGAGCATCAGTGCGTTACGTCATTATAATAATTAATTAACGCCCTTCATGATCAAAATTAGAATTGGACGACGGATTGGGTCTGTGCGCAACTCAATTGCAGCTCGTTGTATATTCGATGAGACCGCATCTCATTATCTACACGTAGATTCTATTATCATTAACCGAAGCGTGGTAATGACAGAATCAAATTTTGTAGCGTATTCGATTTTTGCGCATTTAAATTCATTGGTCTATTTATTACTGTCTTTCTCGTTATTATGAAACTGCCAGAAAACGAACGCGCTGTTTTGCATTTCGCACCTTCGTACTGCCAACGAATAACGTCAGTATCGATGAGTTTTTCTGCGGTTTGAATATCATCTCGAACGATCGCACGGACGAGCTATTTGTGAGGTAAAATACGTGGATAGTGATCTATATGATGGATAATAGGTAATAATGACTTATTTAGAACGCGTGTTATGCTCGCGTCTGAGATGTCGTAGACGCAAAATGTTTTTGTGCATCGATCGAAATGAGCTTTGAAAAAGAGTTGATGTAACAGCGGCCGATTGTTGCGCTTGCAGAGCTACACTCTGCATTATATGAATGTAAAGCATTCGAACAGTTATTGTGTTTCAAAACATTTGTCTTTTTGCGCATTAATCAACGTGCTGACATCGAGACAACGTGCAAACAGCGTACGAGTAGGTACTTGAACAAATTCTTAAACACAGAGCTGTATTCTCTATCTTCTGCATTTAGTATAGTCTTGTTATTATAATCAATTAGGTTGGATATTTCAATTGCAAGTGTATTTGTCGAACTGCAATTGTTCGCGGCTTCGGTTTCTGTGCTGGGAGGAAAATTTGTAGCACTGCCGTGATTTATAATCATCTATATTCCTGTACAAATATGTCGATAGATGTCGTATTTATTTAAGAAAAAAATTATTTGCGAAAGAGTCGCCGCGTTACATATGCGTGCACAAGTGCACATGCGCGACTCGAATGAAGGCAGCGTGCCTTGAAACAATTTTTCGATTGCAAATGTTGTAAAACGCTAGTAGGAAAAAAAAAACGACTGTTCAAGCGTGAAAGTGAAGGTCGGCATACGGTGCACGGATTATTTTTGCAAATTTTTGTTCGATGTTTCCCGCGCGCCGTCCCGCATCTCCGCCGCGCGCGTTGAATCACACGCCAATTATTTTCTCACCCGCTTTTGCCATGCAGGCATCGAACACCGGCAATATTCTCGCGCGAATCATCGGCGAATTCGCGGGACTCGCGATTCGCTTTCGCGGAAAACGTGCCGTCGGGTAAAAATTCCTCGGTTATACAATTATACAACGAAAGCGAGCCTGCGGATACGTGTTGTAGAACTTTTCGGAATGGACTCCGATCGGAATTGTAGTTATTTCCTAGAATTCTATTGTATTTTCTAGAGAAAATGGAATAATTCCATTCTGATTCCATTCCGAATAGTTTCGTAATATGTACCATGATTCACGATCGAAATTTCATACTGCGCGTCTCTCAGCTTTTCTGAGCGAAAATATGGAGAGACTGTGGTCGTCTCCTATTTTAGCTCGACATCTCTCAACGTGGAATTTTGCTTTTAATATTCCTCCAAGTAACATTCTTTCAGAAAATCATCAGAAAATTGTATTTTAAAGTCGATTTTTTTCCCACGCTCGATTACATTCTAATTAAGATGCGATAACACAAAATGGGTCGTGACTCACCCTCGAGATTGACAATCTTCGCGTCTTTGGTGATGGCGTGAGCGCTGCTCGGATGACCGTTCAGCGTATTCGGCTCGTTGTTGTTGCTGCGAAGAACGTCGTCGAGCGCGTTGCTGCTGAAGCCGGTCAGCGTGACCTCCCTGCGATTTTCCATGTCGTGCTCCTCGTTGACGTTGTACTTGGACATGATACTCGTCCACCCGGGGATCGGCGAGATAGGCGAAGTGCGCGCAATTCGGGCGGAACGCCCGTGAACCGATATATAAACGCAAACCGATGTCGAGCCTCCTCCTCACGTGGACTCCATCCCGTCGGGAGCTCGTTCGCACAGCGACCCTGAAGTTAGAAAATGGAGAGGGCTGTTTTATATCGCGCGTAACGATCCCGTTAATTTTTCACCTGTCACCTTATCCTCAGATCTTAGATCGCGTTCGCTGATAATCCTCGTCGATAATCGTTTCATGTATTTTTAATCTTACGTACATACATCAGGTACCCTCTCTAACGTTGTTCTCTCGGGCGATTTATTCGAACGGTACAGGATCTCCTCGCTATTGCGAGACGCGAAGCTTTTGGCGAGGAATCGGGGCCAGTATATCGCGTAATTCATTTACGATTATCTAATTTCACGTAATTAATTCATTCTAAGTTTTTTTTAAATTAATTATATTTTACTAAATTTAATTTTAATTATTCAATAAATCTAATTAATTCAACTTTATTTTTTTAATGAATATTTACAGATATAATTATGTTCTTTTGCTTTATTACTTTGCTTTAAGTTTATTGCGTTATTCGGCAAACAATGAATAAATAATTTTAATAAAGAGTTAATCGCTTCTTTCAACAATGTAATGGAATGATTAGAAAATCACAAATTGGGAAATGCAGGAAATTATTTGTTGTTGAAATTCTTAGTGGTGGAGAAAGATACCGAGCTGAAAATGCACCGTGTTCCCTTCTCTATCGAGTGAATGGACATTCGTGTTACTTTTGCAATTGTTTAAACGTAGATTTCTCGGATATATGGCAAAAAAGTGGCGAATGACAAATGGCGAATGCGGCAATAATTAACGGAATTTCGCAAATTGCTTTGCGAAAACTCATAAAATAACAGCTAGGGTTTGCTCTAATGACGAATACGTGCGGCGCGAGTTAAGAAACAATTGACGTTAAAAAGAACGTCGTTGCAAGTAGGACAATCATTGGAGCACATTTACAAAAATCTACTAAATAATTATACAGTTCAGATTAATTGATTTTTGTAGATATATAATACAATTGAATGAATATATTCAATAAATTAAGTACGCGGTACATGTCTAAGTTTAAAATGAAAATAAAGAAGAAATATCGGAAAGAAACGTTACAAAAATTCACAACGTTGTTTAGAAATGCGCTGCTTTCAATGATATATTGCCATTTCTCAGCAATCGTCGGACGAGAAATCGGCATGTATATTGAAAACATTACAAATAATAGTCTGTAATTGAGCAACGTGTATTCGTGTTTTGTAATGACGACGCGATTATACGTATAAAGCTTATCGTCACGCTCAGTTCATTCTGGATAACTGTAAAACACACGTGGCTATGCGTGGCACACGTATTTATCGTTTATAAAAAAAAAAAAGCTTCAATGAAAGTTGTAATTATCGAAATCAATGGCCGGTAGACGCTAATTGTCTGCGAATGTGCCTACGATTTTATTATAAGCATCCGCTTGCAAACGTGATTACAGTTGACAGAATAACGTTCTAAGACTTTATCTCCTCGATAATGTTACGGTCGCTCGTATATCCAAAATGAACAAATGTTATCGCGGAGGAACGAACGAATTAAATCTGTTTCGCGACTCGAGCCGCTCGTTCGAGCTTGTTACGAGGCGGAAGCGCTGCGATATCGGAAACTACTGTTTGATGTTACATTATTAGATAACAAGTCAAAAAGCGAGCGCGTTTGGAAAATCATTCGAATTACGCGTATAATATAATTTAATATCATCCGGTGCGCGGTTTCACGTATTACGGAAAGCAATAACGTAATCTCGGAAATGTTTCTCGGAATCCGGGATACAATATCACGTCTGTTAAGAAAACTCGTATGTGGAGTGGAATCTTAGAGACTTAGCGAGACGTTTTACGTAATCAATTTCGTACTAAAAAAGTACTCCGATTAGCCATGCCTTCGTTGAATCGAATAAACACCGTTCTCATTATTGATCTATCTGTCGTATTAGATAATGCGATATTATGTAAAATGATATCAAGCACGATCAGTGGATGTTTTATAAAAAAAAAAAAGCAGAAACGTGTGCAACTGTTGCTAATTTGTTTGCAGCGGTTTTAACAATGTGACACGTAAAACAGTACAAAGATACAGCGATAAATGAAATAATTAAAAATAAAAGATAATCTTTGCATTTCCGCGGAACAGATTTCTCGGTAAGATACATCTCAGTTGGCACCAGAATGACATTCTCGCTGCAGCTTTCTGTATTGTTAAGAGACCACATTTTTTTGCGCACAATAGTAATCTCACGTATATCTTAAGTAAAAGAAAGTTTTTTTCTGAACCGACGTGAATTAACAGAATGTGTATCAACATTTTTTTCGTGCAAATATTATTTATATATACACTTATTTTGCACGCTTATTATAAATAACTATACGCGATGAAACGGGTTAAATTCAAATTCGACGAATTTGCATTTAATTACTGTCTACTGACATGTTAATTTGCGCCGTCAATTTCTTGTTCATACTGACATGTTAGTTTGCGACGTCATTCACATTTTTTCTTATATTTCTTCTTTCATACCTACTTACGTTTTCGCTTATATAATCAACAAATGTTAAATAAATAAATTCGATAAAAATATTTCATTATATTGTCAAACGGTATTTCAAATATTTTGAAGTACGAATTTAAATGCCATTTTCACTAACTTAAAAATTTTTAATTATAAATGCGAAACCTGGAGCATATTTCGTATATCCAAAAAAATATGAATGTTGCTCATTTAATCGAGTAATTCCCGGATATTATAATCATGAATATTATAAATTATTACTATGTTGTCATCGGAGATGAAAATTGATTTAATTATCTTGAAACGATCTGTCAGATTATTTTAATTATTATTATCTCAGCTTAATTGGCTACAGTTTATTGATTTATTAGTAATAGAGCCATGGATAAATATAGTTATTAATGCCACGTGAAAGTCTAATGCTGATAATGAAAAAACAATGATCGCCAATACCGTTACTTTACGATAAAATCGCGTATGTGTACGTACGTGAATGAAAGATAATTATAGGATATTTATTTGTCATCTAATTAGTATATTCTCTTAACGAGTTTAATAATCGCAGATTTTAATATCCTGATCGATCATGAAAGTATATTTTGAGACATAACAGTGAAAAAATACAAATTAGAAACTTATATCTCATTTTACTTTAGAGTGATTTGTAGTCTTTATGCAGCACTTATAACAGGATAACAAGTTCACTAACGTGACTAGTTGAGCAATAATAATCAGTATTAGAACTGACAATGAGTTATGAAAATTAATAGATATAGAAGATCAATACGCGCGTATCTGGTATTTAGTTTATTTGGAAACGTGATAGTTATTATAACTATCTGATGGTGTAACAAATTATAAACTATGTTCAATAACAATTGTTATGCGAATATTCTATTACAAATTTATAATATAATAAACTTGCATCAGTAATTTAATATGTTTTTAAATATGTATTAGAAAAATCGGCACGTTGTTACGCTCTATATTAGTTAAAAATTACGTTTTTAATTTATTCAACTCTTATATTTTTCTTAGAAAATTTTATACTCTTGTAATTTTGAAAAATATCAGAGTTATGTACTTATGAAACATAAATTGTGCTCAAAGTATAAAAAGAGAAATATATAATGTAAGATACATGATGTAATGATCTTTTTATCGTAAATTGTCTAAATTACAATAATAATGAATAATTAATTTAAAAGTTTCAAATACAATTTTACTGGATTAAGAATATTTTAACAAATTTTTTAACGCGAAACGTCCGTAAGAAAGAACGTAAGTTTTTATTATTAAACTGCTGTTACTTGTCGCGCGAATTAATTGCGATTCATCGCTCAACCGTTTTGCACGTGACGAAAGAATGTTGCGGCGAATAGCCGTCCGTGCTTTTAAATGGATCGTCGATGAATCACTGCCTCGCGTTAGTCGAGGAAATGAGTAGTTCACCTGATGGGAATCCTTGAACGCCTTTGTGGTAGGCCAGGTAGGCAGACGAGCGTAATTTCGAATTTAAGCTCGGAAATTCTAGCTGTTTCCGACACACTATTCAAAATGCTAAATAATCATCGTTAGTGTCTAATTAACTACAAAACAAGCGACACTTCCCTATTCCAGCTCATGCAATTCTACAATTTCAGATTAACTATAATTTGAGATATCATAAAAAGAGATTAATTGTGTGTAATGTTGTTTTCGACTGAGACCGCAAATTGACTTTTCAGAACCGATTATATAGATAATTATTTCTATTTTTATAAATAAAACAATCATATAGTGTCATATAGACAACTCAGGAGATAAAGATATGTGTAAATATATGTAGAGGTGTGTATGTGTGTGATTTTTTTAGCGAAATAGTCGAAGACATAATTCTTGAGTTACAAGCAAAAGAAGGTCTTTTCGCAAACTAAACTTCAGAGAGTCAAATAGAGTTTCTTTGAGCAAAATTCTAATTTGTTACAAAGATACATGACGTTAAAAATTAAAAGGTTTCTATAAACGATGTCTTTTTGACATTTTTACTAAGAAAAAATCGATTCCATATTAATCAAATATTCTGTCGTTAAAAAGTTAAAAGAAGAAGAAGTTCCTATGTATATGCATACATATACACATATTGGAAGACATCGGAGACATTCAGGATGATCTTTAAATATTCTAAATTTTCTGAAATGTCTAAAAAATTTATATCATTTTCTAAACATACTTTAGAAACTTCAAAAATCTGGGACGTCTTTGAGAGAAGCCTTTTAGACGACCCAAGTATTTTCAAATATTCTTCAGACGTCTCGTAGATGTGCGTTATTTGAAATATTTTGGAGAATGATGCATTTAAGAAATATGGTTACAATAGGGGATTAATATATCAAATGCAGATTTTCTGAGCGCGATTGCAGCACGAGGAAGTGTGTATCGGAGTTTTTTACCTCTGACATCGTCAGACACCGTAACTGAAAAAAATACCGCTTTGGTCAAGGCTCCCGCTCGCAAACGGAGTCGACTAATAACGACGTTTGGTCGAAACTTCCAAAGGGGAATTCTACGATTTTGATTTTATCTCTTGAGGAAAATGTATTGCGTGTGAAGAAATCAAATACAATAGCGATTATAAACACAATAGACGTTATTTCCGAGTATTTTAAGTAATTCCGTTTGGATTAACCTGAAGTAATTACAATGGTTTCAAATTCCACTCAGAAGAATGTAGAGAGATGCAGACGCAGACGTAACAGTCGATAAAATTTGTTTCCCATCTTTTATTTCTACGCAATTTAAGAACGTGTATCGATGCTCGCGTCAGTGTCAAAAGCACCCGATGGATACCTTCAACCCTTTCTTCGAAGGAAAGAGAAAGACGCGTGTCTAACAGAGATTAAACGCGCGTGCTTTATTTATTTATTTATCAGGCCTCGTCCCTTCGTGCGTGAAACGCCGCGGTGCATTCGCGCGGCTCGCTCATTTCACTCGTCCGCAATAATCGCCGCACGCGAGCGAGCGCGTGCGAAAGTTCATATTAGAAGGCCTATAATCCTACATAAAAGGCGGATGATGCTTTCTCTGGCGCGATTTCAGCGATCGATCCTCTCCTGCATAAGTTTGCATAAACATAATGACGCGCAGAAGACTTCAACGCATGCTTCTCTCTCATTCTCTTTGCGCGAGGAAACGGCCACGCCGCAAAGTGTGCCATCCGACTTTCCGGCGGTATATCCGAGCGTTTCCGTTATCAATTGACACTCAACGAACCGCGCTAATGTAACATAAAAGCTGTTAAACGAACTGTTTAAATACCCTCGACCGCGCCCGCTCCCGCTTCGCGTTAAACAGTAAATTATTCTCATTTGTCGTGTTATATCTTACATTGTTTCTAATTCACTCGCTCTGCTAACAATATTGCCCAGAATCGACGCTGGCCTTTCTATCGTTGTACATCGGCGATTTTAGATTCATATTATGTGTCTCATTTTTATATCACCCCTCTGTATCCGATCACGACGAGTACTCACCCCTGTGAGTTGCGTCCGTGATATATCACGCGTGGTGACGAGGCTTGGCTCCTCGGTTCGGGTTCATCGTCGACTCGTCGGCGGGAGCGCGAGGTCCGGCGCAGCGCATCGTCCGCGACGACGCGCGTGTTTGCTGCTCGTCCGTCGCGGGCTCTTCTCGCTTCCCGGATTCTCCTCTTCTTCACCTGACCCGCCGCTCTCTCTCTTTCTCTCTTGCGCGCGCGACTGTGTGCACTGTGCGGGACGGACCCGCTGAAACGGATTCGCGGAGGGACCAGGAGTATCGGACCCCGGGCTGAGAGTCCACGTCCGCGCGTCGCACGAGTCACCGACTCTCTCGAGTAGCGGGCTAGCGGGTCGTTCGCTCGCTCACCTGCGGCCGCGAACTGTTCCGACAGCCGCGAATTATACTTTTGCGCTAGGCACCGCCGCGTACCCCGGCACCGCACCGGATCGCCACGCGTTCTCGCTGCCCGCGATACCCAAAGCGAATCACCCACGCCTGACCTCTCGTCCAGACGTCGATACCCCCCGCGCGGCTGATAGGTTCTTCCCCTGGACGCGAGCATCTTGACTGCGGATAATCTGCGATGCTAATATGAATACGGCTGGCAGATCGAATATTAATTGCAATTAATATTCGAATTACTCCGACTTGCTTAATAATTCCGACTGGCATAAATATTTATCTGTTAAATAAAAAATATTCCAATCAGTTGGTAATTGAATAATACAGTGGAACCTATTGCGTCATACGTCATGATTCTCGATGTTATTTGAAATAGTCGTGGAAGACGGGAATTTTACCAGGTTTTTCGAAGTGATTTATTTCAAAGCGGAAAAGTTTATTACATAATATTTTATAAGTATAAGAAAACGAAAATTATAACAAATAATAAATATTAGATTTAATGATCTATTTAATAGATACTATATTTCACGTACAGCTAATATATATGAATCGCCCACAAAAAAAAGATAGCGTCTCGTGCCAGTATACTTTTCGTAAACATTTATAAATATTAAATTGTCTTGACCAATTAAATAACTTATATGTAATAATTTTAAAAATTTTAACTTTTATTTTTAAAATACGCTATATTTTGAAATATCGTGCACTATGGAAAATCCTGTATATTTCTTATTCTACGTTTTATACGTTTATTACATATTTTTAATTATAAATAATTTTACGCGATATTTTTTATATACTCAAGAGTTTGAAATTAAAAAATGGGTTCTTATATGAATCGCAAAGTCATCTCTAATGGAAGCACATTGTCACGCGCGAAGAGACATCTCCGAGACAAGAGCGAGAAACGTACAATCAATAGATATAATACACATAATAAACTCCACGCAAAGAATATTTATCAGCGGATCTGTAATTATTGCAGTATCTATATATTTACACAAACGATCACGATGCCCGCCGGGTATCATCGCGTATCGCGAATTCGTGCGTTATGATGATTGATTTGTATTATAATAATCGCATGCACCGTTCGCCGCGATACATCCGATATCTCATTATGTGATGTTGCATTCGCACGTGTTACGTAGAACAGTTACACGCCATAATCAAACGTGAAAAAAATGAAAAAAGTTTGCAGGCGGAAAATATAAAATCGTCACGAGCTTACAATTAAAGCGATTTGAAGTGTCGTTGCGAAAAATTGTATTCATGTAAAATTTCTTTTTGATCGATACGGATGATTGAAAATATAAAGCTCGGCAAAAGAACTTAGCGAGTACGGTACATTAATTATACTGAGAATTCATAACGTCATGCATTTTACACGCGTAATCAATGTCCGCGCTGGAGTGTGGCGATCCTGAAATCGAAAACTACTCAGTAGAAATCCACTCGAATAAAAAATATAGTAATCAGTGAAACGCGAGGCAGCGATAAAATCGCGTGGCGTGCGTTTGCATGTTAATAAATACGTAATATTTTATCGATCCGACTTATCTCATAAAACGGTAAATATGTTTACGAAATTTGGCACGTACCCCTAAAATCGTAAAATAGTAGGGAAAGGGTCGCGATAAAGTTAAATTATTATAAGTGACAATTATTATTCAATGGTGTCAATTTGTTAATGACGATATTTAGAATTATCACGTGCTGCGTGATAGAAACATATTAATTATACATCTATTTTTTAATGTAGAAATATACAGATAACGTGTAACAACAGAATAAATATAGTTTCTAAATATATTGTATTTCATAATTTAACGTAAATTAAAATTTTCTTATATACATATAAAGTTTATACATAATTAGCTCTCTATATAATATTTTGATATTATTTAACGTGCAGATGGGTTTCTCATTTGCAAACTAAGTATTTGATGTAAGATGAGAAATATTATAAATACTGAGTTACATTTTTATTTTATTTTTAGACCCCTTTGTTTCTTCAATAACAGAAATACAAATTGCGCTTGTTACACGAACAATTACACGAACAAGATTGTTTTGCTTTTCTGATAATAAAAAATTTTAAGAACGTCTATCATTTTCGTGGAAACTTGGAACCGAATGCAAGCGTATAACGAAATTTTGACCATTCCAATGGAATGTGGTGATAATCACTGTTTACAAACGGCGACATTATGTAATTTGGTGCTCGGCATGCAATAACGTTGGCGATAAGGAGCGCGTGGAACCTTCCTCCAGCAGTGACCAGAGATTTTTACAGTCTGCGCTTGCTATCTCGCGATTGCTTCCGTTCTCTTACATCATCATGTACACGCACACCTATATACAATACGCTCACATACTCTCGCACATCGCATACGGAACATAATTATCGTAATCTAATCCTATAAGAACTTTATTCTGAGTGCATATGTGAACGCGAAACTTATCTTTTTACGGGCATTTAATTGACCAAAATTAATCTATCTCTATAGATATCACATATACAAACAAATAGATATTTAAAGAAGCTATTCTTATCTTGAAAGCAGTAAAGAATATTGGCAATACTTCTTTAAAAAAAAAAAAAAAATGTTCTACGTGTTGCTAAAGTTTTTGTTTATTGTGTTGAATATTTCGGAATTAATTAGTGGACTGATAATGTCCAAGAGATAATAATATAAGTAACGAGACGAGACAAAAATCTGATGCGACGGTGCTAATGGTTGTGTCTTATACAATTGTTTGAAGAAAAAAATGAAGATGTTTTTTACTTTCTATGAGCGCAGTCGTCATTCGTATAAAATGTAGTTTTAAGGAAAAAAAGCCTGTTAATTTTGCATATAGATTTAAAGATTTTTTTGTACTTAATTAGCTTAATTAGCAATTAGTCAAATACATACATTCTTCTTCTCGTAGGTATTCATACCACTTGAAAAAAGTATGCTTTTCAATTTCTTTTTTGTTTTTTTTTAAATTGTGTAGATATTAAAATATTTTAGAATAAATTTTTAAGATCTAAAACTTGTAAAAAATTTTAAAGAGAAGATTAATTTTTTTTTAAGTAAACTTTAACAGAATTTTTATATTTTAAGCTTTACAGATGTAATATATATATATACACACAGAATTAAGTTTAAAATATAAAGTTTTATATATTTGAATTAAAAAATATAAATTTTATGTAATATAAAGCTAATATCGATAAAATATATAAAGAAACATCCTATTTGTGTATATTTAGTGTGTGTTAATATGTCTCTTCTTTATATATTTTACCTATGTTAAGATAACAAATCGTAATTAATTTGATTATTGAACTGCCCAGTTGTTTGACAGAATTTACCGATAAAGCTTCAATTAAATTTCAATTTGCTTGATTCAGATAAGACGTGATTTGTAGAGTTATCATAATGTAATTCGAAAAGTTATGTCGGGTCGTAACGAGTACATATTCGCGTCGTTCGCGTATATAGCGCGGTTGCGTAAGTATAAGCACAATTTTGCAATAGGAACACCGGCGAGTCGCGTTTGCGCGCAAGCACATCTCATTATCATAAAGTCTTACATGCCGCATTCCGTGAGATATGTCTTCCATTCACTAATCTCCACCGCGAAATGGGGAGAGCGTTTAAACTAACGATAACGATGATTGCATGTTGTGTCAATCCGAAACGCTTCGATTCGCGCTAAAGCTATTTCACCATGCAGGAAAATTCCGGAAGATTAAACAAGAACTAATTACACAGAACTTTTGTTCCAATGTAATTGTCAGAATTTGTGTTTGGCATATTTTAATTCGATGTAAAAGGTTAACCATTTCTTAAATTCCAATTTGAGAAAAACGTAGCAAATAAAAGTAGAAAAGTAATAAAACAATCGACAAATAAATTAAACTTATCATTAATAATATTAATTTTGTTTATTTTTATTATCATTTATGGAACATCAGATGTTTTCTGACTCTGTGTCTAAGGCTTAATTTTATCTGTTGCTTTTAAGATAATTAAATTATATAAAATTATATAAAAAATATGATGTAGATTCGAATCAATCAAATGCTTCTTAGCTGAAAGAAAACAGCTTTTGTGACATCTTCGCGTTATATTCGTCTACGTTGATGCGCAAGAACAAGAAGTACCGAGAAGTGTGCGTGCTATTCACTTGTGCGAACAATTCGCATAATTGAATCTTGTCACGAGAGGTATTATCGCAAACGTATGTAAATATGCACAGCGGAACTCGATCGCATTACATGAATCGCATTACATTAATCGCGTGCCATTTGAATGTAGCTCCGGCGGCTATCATTCAATTTTTTATCGATTACTTCGAAGTTGTATGGGGCAGTGGAAAATTTCTGTTCTTCATTTTATCCTTCTCCTATATCGCCTGTTCGCATAATTATTTTTATGATCTATCAAATTATTAATCCCAAATATTCGATAGCCATTGAAATATTACACTTCAAGACAAAACCTAGCACAATTCCAATAATTTTAACAATTCAACAATTATATTTTACTATGTTTTCGTAATAAAAAGCAATGCAGAAAGTCCTAAAACGCGATAATTTTTTATTTTCAAATTATTAGTATCTATTGTTTTTGGATTATTATAACTTATTTAAAATTTTTTACTACTAAAAATAGCAATTTATATAAACAATAGTAATTTTATCATTTCAGACTGATATTAAAAAGTTTTTTTCTTTTTAAGAAAAAACTTTTTACTTTCTCAGATAGAAATGCATTAATGCTTATCATGTAAGACAGCTTTGTAAAGGAAAAGTATTGTGTAACTATAAAGTATGTTTAAGCTGTGTAAGTTACGGTAGCGAAATTCTTAGCCTCTTAATCCGCGAATCTTCGATCGGTTCGCTGGCACATTCCACGAGGAACGACAATGCGTCTCGCGGACTTTCCGTTCGTGCTCGAATTCCTGATGCTTCTTCCTCCTACCTCTTCAGAATCGTCGATGAGATTGCGTAATCCTGGCTTTTCAGCACATCCGCATTTTCCGCGGCCCGCTTGGCTGACCGCGTATCATGACTCGCAAGTATATATGACAGATTTCCTTTTATATCTTGCAGAGAGATTCGTTCGGCAATATTGATATTGATATTTACAATTTTAAGTTTATACCTTAGCGTATTTGAATTCATCCAATAATACGAACGATTTTGGACATTTATAACGCGATTAACATGATTAATATCATTTAATCTATAGATAAAAAGTTATGCAGAAGTAGGAATTTTTTCAATTTGTTAATACTAGCTCTTTACTTCCATAAAAATACCACAAATGATATACAGATGGAACATTCTTGATCATTACACGTTCTCAGATTTAAGTATTTTTTTACAGATAAAATAATTGATTTTTTATGTAACGTGAAAAAATTAATTTTTTAGCGAGTCTTTTTGCAGTTAACGGCTTAATTAAATTTTATTTTAACGAAAACGAAGTGTTCGGAATTATTTTTCTTAAGGGAAATATCATAAAGGAGTAAAAAGACAATTTCTAACAAGGAGCAACAAGTATCGTGATTGATTTGAGACGTTCCTAGAATTGTCGGAATTGGTCCGATTGTACCAATTATTTGTGGCCACTGGAGCGAGACAATTCGATCTCGAACAGTATTCCGACAAATCTCATGTTGTACGTTACGATTGCGTAAGTTTCGAGGTCGTTGCGATGAAGTTTCACGTGCAGAATTTGATCATTCATGAAACGGATGATCGCTTAATTAAAATAATTCGAATAGTTTAGTAAAAAATACAAAAATAGGCGATAAAAACGAAATTATATAAGATGTGTCTCGCATTAAACGTACTTTCTTAAGCTGCAGACTTTTGGTCAAATCTATAAATTGATTTTTTTCTTTTAACAAACATACAACAAGATGCCTTTTAAATTAAAGGCTGTAAACAGTGAAAAGTTTTTATAAAAATATGCTTAAAAGAAACAAATAGCTATAATAGAACTTGTATTCTTCAGTCAAATTCGAATAAACTCTATTTTAAAATTAAAGTTGCATTTAATTTTAAAATACATCTATGAAGATATAATATTGAGATAAATAATGATTTCCATTGACATTTTCATTAAAAGAAAATCGAAGATTTACAAAGGAATATTGTATGGAATATATATATTTTTATTTATTCTTAATATTATATGTATATAATTAATAATTAATATTATAAATTTATTTTATATAAATTAAATTCTTAAATTCAATAATAAATATTTTTACGGATAATCGAATCTCTTGTACTTTTCGACTCGGGAACGATTCGTTATGAGAACTTCACATTCACTACTTAGAACATATATAATCTCAATTACGGACGATTACAACGGACAAGTTGCTTTGGTAAACGCACTTCCTTTTGGCAACGGACGAGGTGGCCGAGTGGTTAAGGCGTTGGACTGCTAATCCAATGTGCTCTGCACGCGTGGGTTCGAATCCCATCCTCGTCGTTCGCTTTTTGTTGGCTCGTGATGGTCTCTCCTATCCGGGAGCTATGAGTGAAAATCGAGATATCAATCGCAATTAAATTCACAATCGCGTGGCTTACGAATAGCATGTGTGGACATTTAAACGTGATTAGCGATTTAATACATTAAATATGCACGTAATAGTTAATGTGTATGTACAATTCCTTTGATGCGTCGTTGCACGAATTATGCAAAATAATTAGTTATAAAACAGCAGCATTTTAATATATATATATATATATATTTTTTTTAGAAACGTAAAGTAGTTCTTGCTTTTTGATGAACCTAATTCTTTTTATTAAATAATTAATAAATAAAAAATTTCTAATTTTCTCGTACAAAATAAAGAAATTGGCATAAAGTTAAACAAGTAAATAGCTTACGATGATAATGTGTAAATAATTGAAAATATTTTTGACACAATTGCAACTAATATGAATACTTACGTAATCCATAATTTGCTGAAAAAAGTGGGAATGTTTGAGTACGTCTCTGGAGAAGAGTCATATCTGCAGAAAAATAGCTCTGAAACAGTCGAATGATACGACGGTCTTATGTAATATATATCATTATCGATTCGCATGAATGATTTGTTACAAAACCGACAGAAAGCTTTTTGTTAGGAAATTGTGTAAATACGAAATGGAATGATCAATCATTTCAAACGTTCTGAAATAGAGGAGAAAAGAGTACTCGCACATTATTAATTACAACATTGTCTAGAAACACAGCGATAAGATTCTAGAATAAAAAAGCTCGTTAATTATATGATTGTAGATATATTCTTCTTCAATAAAGATATTTCCAATAATAGCAACAATAACAGCAAATTATAATAATTACAATTAGATATAATTTAATATTATACTGATGAAAAATGTCACGTCAATTATGCTGCGATTACATGACAAGAGATTTATATGGAATTGTAGTATAATGCTCTTGTTAACTTCTTATAATTTGACATCATTTTGAGATGAATTTTCTAATAATTATTCTAATACAGAAATAAAGCAACACACAGCTAATGACAGCACAGATAATGGCGTAACATACGATTTATTTGTAACTTTCGCTAGCTTTGATATCGATTAATCAATTGTTCGTGCATTTGTAACGAATATTTTCGTTCTAATAACAATGCGATTACCTGGGTCAATTCTGTAAAAATAAAATGTATTTTTGATAAATGAATAGCGACGATACGTGTTCAACAGAACGAATAAATATTGACGTTTTCGATCATTGGGGGATCTTACATCTAATAATGATAAAGCTACTCGTCTTGGAAAGTAAGAGGTCTAAGTTTGAACTTTAGAATGATATTTTTATTAATGATAAATTTCTTAGTAGATTTATAACATGCTTACTAGCAACAATAATATTAAATTGCAGGCAAATTTAATAATAAGGGATTACATTTCTAATTTTGGCATGAAACTACGTTTCAAGATCGAATTGTAATCTGCACGTGGTGGAAATGTAAAAATGTTATCGTTAGACACGAGATCTTGGTCAAATGAACAAGAGTGCAGATAATATTTGTTTATTCTGTAAAATCGAATTTGAAATCATTGACACGTGCACTGGAACTTTGAAATAGTAATCGCAATCGTATTATGTTTTTATGTATGTATTTTTAACAAGCCGTCATGTGAATAAAAAGTGACATATGTTTACAGTTTGAATGAATATTTTCCGCATTCTGGAATTTAGCTCTCGACGTCATTGTTATCAGTAACATTTTTTTTTTTAAATAACGCCATAAGTATGTATTATATACAGTGATTAAGATTAATGAGTTTGCTCCGTTCTCTGTAATTCATTCTGTTCTAAAAAGTATGTCAAAACAAGTATAGTTTACATAAAAGTTTAATGCAGTAAAAAAATTATCGTATAATTATGTTATAACGGCTACTCACTTTTATCGTTGCTTTTATAACAACTTTTATGTTGACAACAGATGAGCATGAGGTGATGACAAAGATAGATTAATATGATTATAAAATTATTTCTGGATTTTCCCTGCAATATTATCCGTCTTTCCTTCCTCTGTCAATATTATTGTCTATCTTAGTCTGTGAGGTTTTGCCATTTTTACAAATCATGAAAACAATCTGCGCGTTCGCGTGAATCCCGTTTGCCTTAATATTCAAGATTGCGTTTAATTATTTTTAATGACGCGATGTTGATAGATTCGTTTCTCGCAGTCATGATTACTGATGGGAAATTGCGGTTTACAACGAAACACGCTGCTAATTTTGTACGACACAATCGGATAGTTATATCATTTGAATCGCGGATTGATTTAAATATTGGAACATATCACGCGCGCGAGATGCGTTTCTCGCGATATCGAGTAATACACACCATTTTATCAATATTTCCACACTCTTTATTGACCGACTGATAAGCTAAGCAAATACAATTTGCCTGAATTTGCGATGTACGATGATACTACACGTGTTTGCGTATCTTTAAACATGATAGATTATATCATCACATAACATCTTTCAATATAATAAGTATGTTTCTGTCTGTTAAGTTCCCGCGTCGAGCTATATTTGCCCCGTGTACCTTTCTATCAAAATGAAGCAATCTCATAGTATGGAAAATAAAATGGTGTTATCATTTCCACACCTCCTTATTACGGTAAACAGCACGGCGTATTTTTGAAGTGGTTATCCCCAAAATGTCTAATCTTATTAATGTAAGTATCACTCGAAGTGCCTTTCTCGCTCTCGTAAACAGAATTCGGCTCTTCGAGTGATATATTTATAATATGATTAAATTATTTTAATTTAAATCTTTAATATTTTTTGTGTTCTATTGTTAGGACATGATTTTGATAATAATATGAAAAAAGATGCATCTAATCTTGAAGCCTTTAAAACTGATTCTGTAATAACATTATGACTTATAAGTATTAACTTATTTTGTAATCCTCTTCTAAAAAGGAGATGTGAAGTTTATTGTTGCCGCTTTTCCGCGATGCCGATTGGTTCTCTTGCTGCGCTTACTTCATTTGCAGCTGTCATTGTATATTTTGACAGTTGTGTATAATAGGGTTAATAGTGAAATGTTAAAGATAAATAGCGCGCGCGTAGCGCGCGTCTGTAGTGTCTAGTGTACATAAATTTTGTGTGAAACATGTATGTTCAATTATTTTGTGACATGTGTTAAAACTTATAATAATAGATTTTCAGTGATATTTCAGTTATACGAAAATTGTTGGATTTAAAAAATTCAAGAATACATGAAAGAGTATTACAAATATACACAAAAAATTATAAAATAACTTAACACTCAATTAGATAATGTACACAGTCACATTTAGACTTTTGTATTGGATGACGAAGCGAAAAGAAAAATGTTGAATCGAACTACATGGAATTTTTTCCATGTTAGAAACATTAAAAGAATTAGAGAAATTTCAACAGTTATTAATGGATAACAAAATTAATCGTAAATTATTACGTGCATTTTAAAAAACAATTTTTAATAATAATGATCTACAGAGAGATTTAATCTCTTTTATTTATCTTTTTTAGATAGATACCAAATGGCACGAATAGACGGAACGGACATCAAATCAATAACATTTAATATCTTACGAAGAATTCTGAGCGATTCAGTCGGGAGTATATTTAGCTATATGTCAGAGGGGAGGGGGGACGGAGAAATCTTCATTCTTCAACTTATATCATTGTCACCAGTGAACGGTGGTATTTCTGTAAGCATGTCGATCGTCAAGGCGTTCAGACTCCCACCAATCCACAGTTTCACTATGATTACTCCTTAGAATCTCTGAAGCCAAGTCTGAAGCCATATATTCCATCTTTCCGCAGAACGTGTGTGTCTTTGTGCCTTGTGAGTGAGCGATCAATATAATACACAAAAGATAAAGAAGAGTAAAACGTGTGTGTATGTATGTGTGTGAAAAGAGAGATAATAAAGATGAAAATAAAAAATAAATTACAAAAAATAAGGAACGTGTGCGTGAAGAATAAAAGTCGAAAAATTGAGATTCAAGATGGACGAATAACAAGTAAAGAAAATGAGAAATAAAAATTAAATAATCGATAAGATAAATAATAATAGATATACCAGATACCTATACACCTACAGTAAGCTTTCTTGTACTCATATAATCCTGTAAGATTCATAAAAATCACTGTTCCCAAAAAATATATTTACTTATCACTTTTCTTATAATAATACTTATGCTGATCTAAAACTGAAATTCTCCTTAATGACCGAAGATTCGACACAACCGAGGACATCAAAGAAAATTTATATTAAAATATCCCTTTTATTTTAATAATTTTTTATAATGAAATAAAATTATACGTTCCGTATTCTATTCTATACAATTAATATTTCTTAAATCTTTTGTATATATATATGAATAATATAACAGTGTAGCAGTGCAACATGTATATCTTAAATTGTTATCTACATAGATGGATAACAATTACGCGTATCGTGAAAAATATCCGTGCAACATGACTCACAAAGAAGTCTTTCTGACAGTTTGATATTTGTATACGTTTAAAGAGAGGAAAATTAAATATTAAATATTAATGTTAGATATAAAATTAAAGATTTAAAACAGCTTATACTCAATATTAAATTAAATGAATAGATATATAGTCTTAATAATTATAAGGCACGAGTATTTAAATACAATGCGTCCAATCGAAAAAAGATGTATTAAATATGCATTCTGGAAATGTTAAAACATATTAATAAATTCTGGTATATCAATAAATACATTTGCATTCAGAGTGATATATTAGATATACATGTAAAGAATCTACAGATTTTCTTATAATCGTTATTATTATTTATAATTACTTATAATTATAATCTGATATTAGTTAATATGACTGTCGTTTAACCACATAAATAATTTTGTTGGTAACAAATTTTGTCAATTGTTCCAAGGCTAAAGCAGGGACAAACAATAGCAGGAAACGACGCTATCACGTACTAGATTAGATTGCAATTAGTGTGTTAATCATTGCCAATTACATTGCACTTTTTCAGATATGCTACGCGCAAAATTCAAACTATTAAGTAATCTAAATTGACATACTTATCAAGAAAACAAAAATTATTTCCTGTAGTTTAAATTATTTTATTTAGATTTAAATTATTTTTCACAGTACATTATTGTGTAATTGTGTATACTCATTCTTAGTATTTTTTTAACGGGGCAATTAGTATTTAGACGCATAAATAATTTCTTGGAAAATAATATAATAACATACACTCTGTATACAATTCTCAAAATATTTTAATATTCAATTTTTTAATAACGAAATTGAAGCTCATTTCACGACACAAATTCAACTGTGTATTAAAAAATTCTAAATAATAGAAATAATAGTGGACAATGAAGTGTTCTGAAAAATATTATATTTGTGAAAAATGATTCTCAATTTATCGAAATAAGATATCTTTGAAATTATAAAAATTTTATTAGGAAAAATTTATTTTCATTTATGTCTTATCATTCTAACGATGTATGCTTAGAAGTCGATTTTTTCGAGGGAGTGTTTTATCCCTTTGAACATAAGAGTTCTTATACATATATATAATTTTGATCTGCACGACCCATATCCTGCGCAGCGATCACGTAACTTTTCCCGTAGGTCGAAAACGTGAAAAGTGAAAAATTTCATGTGACTATATCTTTTTCTATTCACCATCAATTGAAAGAGATAGTTACATGAAACTTCCGCCCTACGGAAAAAATTACGTGATCGCTGCCCAGCAGCTTATCAAAATCGGAGGGGAAGATACTCTTAAGTGTATTTCCTTGTAAAAGTTATTCTTCAGAAACTTTATTATTGAATCCATTGTACATACAACAGTACTGCATTTAGCGAGATAGAGAAAAAATTAAAGGCGCACCGAAAAAAAAAATTGTTAATCTTAACAAAAATATTTAGTCCGATACGTTCAACTAAACATTTTCGTTAGTTAACTAAACATTAGTTGTTTCAATTTATTTAGTTTCTTTAATAAAAAATTAATTAATTCAACTAATGTTTAGTTAACTAACCAAAATGTTTAGTTGAACGTATTGGACTAAATATTTTTTGGGATTAATAAATTTTTTTTCTCAGTACGATATCTTCGTGCATACGTATAGGTATGTCGAGCGACACGCGACACGCGGACTCGAGGTCGCGGAGAACGCCACGTTTCCGTGTTATCGCTCGCGGACTACGCACGTGATCGCGCGCAGTATTCTGCTTTATCGACCTTCTCTAAAAATCAAAGGATGCACGGCTGCATGCAGCTGTACACGCTCCTTCGTTTCTCTAGCAGCACGTCTGATCCCGCGGAATGTTGCTTTTACGAGGAAGATTCGACGAAACGACACCGCTCCTGTCGAGTAAGTTCCGCTTCAATCTTTACGGACGCGCCTCTTATGCCAGGCGTCATCATTCTCACCGATTCTAATCGAACTGTCACTTCCGCGTCATTCTCTCATAACGCATACACTGTTAGGAAACACTACGACGCAAATGTAAATGCGGAATCATTCGATCTCCTCGTTTCATGGGCGTAGGTATTCTTGTATATATATTTTACATTATTATATTGTTGCAATCTATTTTTTTACACCTTTATTTTCATGCAGTGTTTTATCATTTGCAATTTGTTTTTATTCTTTTATCAATTATTTTAAATTTATTTAAATATAATGTGGTAATCTTGATAAAATTTGATTTATATTATTTGTATCATCAATTTTTCATGTTTTCATTACCTGTTGTGATTTTTACTTGATTTACTGATACAATGCTTTTAAATTAAAAGAAACATTAAGACAAATTCAATCACAACTGGGATCCGTTTAAATAGTATTCTTATTAAACAAAACCCATAATCGTTGTAGCAGTCGTGGCCGAGTGGTTAAGGCGTCTGACTAGAAATCAGATTCCCTCTGGGAGCGTAGGTTCGAGTCCTACCGACTGCGAAAATGATATTTTTTTTTTTTTACAGTCTCGTAACTATAAAACGAGGTATGAGTAAATAGAAACTTAAATATTATTTTTTTGGAACAATTTTTCAAGGATTCTGTCTGGGGAGAGAAACATCGTATAAATTCGCTGCTGTAAAAATAATGCACTGTTTGAGAAGAGAAAATTAACTGAAAATATATTTTCTATAATTTAATAGGACACTGAAATGGCAAGGTTTATAATGTGCATAATCTAATTTATCAAGGAAATTATTTTGTAATATCCTATATATAATATATGCAAAATGCTGTAAATAAAAGAATAGAATATATAAAACAAATATTTTATATAATTAAATATGTCTCTTCTACGACAAATATAAATCATGCTATGTAATTTTTTCAATTAACAGCGCGTATAAGAAGTCAATAATTAGACTAGAGGCAAGAAAAAATTAAATTGTTACGTCAAACAGTTAACTGGCGATATTATTGTTTCTTTGTTTTCCGTTATCGGAATCTCGCAGACAGCGGCGTATTCTATAACTGTTTATTTACCTTCTCGTCGCGTATAAGCATCCGTACGTGCTTAGCAAATATGTCAGGTCATGAGACACGGTATGCTCTGGTGATTAATGAAAATCTCGCTACCACGCACGATGTTCCGAAGACAGTAATTAATTAAACTTTGTTTCTCCTTTCTCCAGACAGACGGGAAGTGTACACGCAGGCACACATATATGCATATATGTATCTATTATAAATATCATATAATTTTTTCTTATGTACTTAAAAATATTTAACCTGCTAAAGTAGGTAACATATATATATTTTCTAAAATCTGTTTTGGTGAAGTTTCGAACTTAGGAATAATTCAAACTAATGCATTTTAATAAAACTATTCGAGATGCTATTATTTTTTAGTATCGGATTTGTAAAATAAATGAAATTTCTAAAAAAAAAAGTGTATAAAACACAACGCTTGCGCATACAATTTCGTAACACCTAATTATATGAAAAGAATTCTGGCAGTTAGAATTGCCGATAGATTTTTGTCGCGTTAAGTAATTCCGCATAATCTTTCACACAGATCTCACGTGACGCTCCTATGTGTTTCAATGAGTATATTGATAGTGTCGTTCTTTGCGACATTATCACATGACACGCGAATTAATACCTCGGGAATTAATTCGCCGTTGTTAAACATGGAGATGAGATTGTAATGCTAAATCGACTGTCTCTTCCGATTGCCGTTTGTTTGAGAAAATCTTATCTCGATGGCTGCCACGTGACACATTAAACGCTTTATCGCAATCTGCTAATCAAGCACTTGAAAAATTATTGCAATTCCTGTTGTAATGGATTATCAAGAGCACTAAAGGTTTCAGTGTTAGATGAACACCGTGCCGAATCGGGAGTCTTTTATTCGCAATTGCCATTTCGCAGATCGCGTTTCTCCCTCGAAAGTTCACGTCGATAAAGCTATATAAGTTTTAACGCGTCAATACACGTCAATTTCGCGAATTGTGTGAAAAAAATTCAGCAGTGGAAATTATTTCATTTATGTGCTGAGAGAAAATTAAAGTGTAAATCGAGACTATGACGCTATGTATGTATATAATTAATAATATATGTAGTGCTGTACTGAATATATAAATTTATAATATATTGATAGAATATGTGAACGGTTATTATTAGAAAGGAATATCTGCACGCGCGTTGCAATTTTGTAATATCATGTTTGCGCTGTTTTCGATATCGCAACTATCGTCAGAACTTTGAGAGGCGTGACTATGATTAGTTAGTAGTTTTGCAATTTTTGACACGATGCAGTGGCTGTGATGATAAGCTGATGATGATGCTTAGACATCGTCGAATTTTAACAAACTGTTTCTTAACCAATTAAATAACGTAAAGCGATGTCTATAATGAGTCTCGCGTAATTTATCTGCCTTTATTATTTTATTATTTCAATAAGAGGAAATAAATGTAATTAGCGTCACATTCCTTTTTCTCAAACGAAAACTTCGTGGACAATTTATCTTCTCTAGTTCTCTAATTTTTTACACTTTAACATCTTGCTTTACGTTGAAGAAGATTTAACGATATCTTATATTATTTTAATATATTAATATATACCTTTTACTTAAACATTCAAGAAATTATTATCTTTATATCATTATCGACGTCATAATTATTATTTTCAGATACTAATTATTATTATCAAACATAATTGAATTAACATGCATTTCTCCGGAACTTCATACGGATTATTTAACAAGATTGTAATCCAAATTCTTGTTTCAATCATTTTTGCAACTGTTTTTGACATTCACACGTTCATTATATAAATTATAGATCCAAATGTTAGACTTTCTCAAAGTTGCGACCTCAAGGGGCTTCTCCTACGGAGGATACCGATTCTAGCATGGCTGCCTCTGTACAGTTGGAGCAAACTTCTGCAGGACACTTTGGCAGGGTTGACAGTGGGTCTGACCGCGATACCGCAGGGCATAGCGTATGCAATAGTGGCTGGACTTCCGGCACAGGTGGGTAGATGATATGAGCGTACTTGCTACTTGCTACATAAACAGACTTCCTTCTGCGCATGACGTTCAAATTCAAGCTACCATAAAATTTCAACATTTTATCGTAAAAACGATATACTTAATTCTCCGACAAATCAATTAAAATATCCCGCGGCATTCCCGACAAAATTAAAAATCCTCGATACAGCGTATCAATTTATACAATTCTAAATTTATTACAATTCTAAAATAATTTTTGGAAGAGATCGTGAGAAGGATGTCAACTCTCACGATAATCTTAATTTGAAAACAAATTTGAACTCGTACACTCGTTGAACTACTCGCAATTTTTCGCTCGGTTAATTGAATCTCTCGAGTATTTTGAGGATCTGTCCACCGAGTAACTGATCTAATCTACGATAGTTGGAAGACGACTCTCGTTAGGTGAACTTTTCAAAACTTCAGTATGGCCTGTACAGCGGTTTCATGGGTTGCTTCGTTTATCTGGTCTTCGGTAGTAGCAAGGATGTGACGGTGGGACCCACCGCGATAATGGCATTAATGGTGCAAAAGTACGTGACCAGTCTTGGAGAAGATATCGCCGTAAGTGGCATTTATTAAACCCTCGTCCAAACTTTGAAACTTAATTTTCGAAACTTAATTTTATATATCCTTTATACTTTATATAGTATATATAATTCCTTTCATTTAATATATCCGTAGTAATGTATGTCAAATTAACATAATTTATCAATATACTTTTGTTCTGATACATTCATTTTGCGTCTACTTTCAAATTACTCGCGAAAGTAATCATTTTAAGTCCATGGTACTTATAATCACGATTTCGTTGCAAGATATGTATTTTACTTTAATCTTCCTTTATAAAGCTCGTGTGAAATTCCTTTTCAGGTGCTCGTGTGCTTTTTATCAGGCGTCGTGATCACGGTCATGGGAGTGCTTCATTTGGGGTTTCTCGTAGACTTCATAAGCATGCCTGTAATTTGTGGCTTCAGTAATGCAGCGGCGATTATTATCGCCACTTCTCAATTAGGTACCTTGCTGGGTATAAAAGGGCGCAGTGACTCCTTTATCGACGCTATTTCAAACGTTGTTAATCATATAAAGGAAACTCAACTCTGGGACACAGTGCTAGGAGTGTGTTCGATGGTGGTGCTGGTTCTCCTCAAGGTAAAATTGATTAAATTGCAGGATTACTACAAAGGTTGTATTATATCACAAGCGCTGATCGCCTTTAGGAAATGTTTTCAATATTTTATTCAGATTTTTTATTAGAACTTCTTAGCACCGACTTAAATTTTTTATCGCTAATATTTATCCGAATTTAATATAATTAATATAATTTACGTAGAATTTAACGGTCCAATATAATTTTTAGCACATTTTGTAACTTTCTTTCCTTAAAAACCAAATTTCAATCAAGTGATTAATCATTTCTGAAAAATTGTATTTTTTTAAATAAGATTAAATATCAGAGCAATCATCAGTAGATACAGTTGAAGCATAATTAATAGACTAAAATATTCGAAAATAGAAACTGCCCGGCAAGAAGCTGGGAACTCCTTTCGAAAAACTCATGTGGCTAATCTCCTTGGCCAGAAACGCCATAGTCGTGATAGTTGGAATTCTCATAGCCTCCGTGCTATTTTCTCACGACATCAAACCGTTTCAAATTACGGGCAACATAACCGAGGGTCTACCACCGTTTTCCCCACCTCCGTTTACCATCGTGAACGGAAACCGTACGTATACCTTCGCAGAGGCAGTCGGCGAACTTGGCAGCGGCATCCTCTCGATACCACTCATCGCCATATTGGAGAGCATTGCCATCGCCAAAGCGTTTGGTGAGTACAAATATTGATGGCAAATTTAGTTAAAAGGACTTTACTTCGATTAAGCGATAGAAGAAAATCCTGCAGTCGGTGAAGATATGATTTACTTATCCCGGAATCTCGTGATAATTATGAAAGACTCACAAATAATTCATTGAAGCGAACGCGTGATTAAAAGCACAAATTTCTTGAAGTGCCCGATCTCTCGAGAAGGAGAAAGAGTACGACCTCTGTTCTCCTTCCCGTAGATTCGCGCCCGGATCTTACAAATTATTGAATTATCGGGTTCTCGCGCGCTCAAGCTCCCTTCAATAATAAATTTACGAAGTGAAATTTTACGACGCGTTTGAAAAGTTTCGGCAAATTTGCAGCGAAAGGAAAGACTCTCGACGCCAATCAAGAGATGCTGGCACTCGGCCTCTGCAACATATGCGGCAGCTTTGTGAGATCGATGCCCGTGACTGGAAGTTTCACCCGTACCGCCGTCAATAATGCGTCTGGCGTCAAAACGCCGATGGGTGGTGTTATCACCGGCAGTTTGGTGCTTTTGGCATGCGGCCTACTGACATCTACTTTCAAATTTATTCCCAAGGCTACGTTAGCGGCGGTCATCATAATCGCGATGTTTTACATGTTCGAAACACACATTTTCCTTGTTCTCTGGAGAACAAAGAGTAAGATATTTTAATTACTTACAGATACTTTCCAGATATCTCTAAATATTGCTCGTTTGATGCTTTCTAGATGTTTTTTTTTTTTCGATTGTTTATTTCATAACGCGAGATATACCTACTAATTAAATTTAAACTTGAAAAGTTTGTTATAATAATTTTCTTCCCAAATGTAGAGAATTTTGAGAATCGAATTATTTGATAAGTTAAAAAAACTTAAAAATAATCGTGAAATTTATTGCACATTCCTATAAATAAAAAAGTATAAATGAGAAAAATGGATTCTAATTAAATAAAAATAAAGTTCTCTCTTGTAGTAAATTCTTTTCCTAGATTACTATTTCTTGACTGTAATTATACATTAAATTCTGCTTTTAATAATGTGAGATACAGAAAGCAATACGATACTCGATCGGGAAAGCATTAAATACAGCTCGTTATAAATTATCTGTCGGTTAATCTAGTTTCTAGTCTAGTTTCTATAGTCTCTGAGATTAATCGACTTCTCTTTCTCTGGCATTGAGCAGAAATCGATCTAGTGCCGTTGATAGTGACGTTATTATGTTGCTTGGCGGTCGGTTTGGAGTACGGTATGATCGCCGGGATTGCGGTAAATCTAATTCTCTTACTCTATTTCGCGGCTCGGCCCGGGTTATTGATCGAAGAGCGGATTGTTGATGGCTTGACCGTGCTTTTCGTATCGCCCAAGCAATCCCTGAGCTTCCCAGCGGCGGAGTACCTCCGAGAGCGAGTAATGTCGTGGTAAGTCCCACCGCAAATCCGCGTAAGAAATGATTCGGACGCGCGCGTATACCAGGTGCCCCGAAAGAGGTGCGAAACATCGTAAAATTTTTAATAGCATACAATATCTTGGCAACTTGAATAAGAATTTCGTTAAATCCACAAATAGTATTTTTTCTTGTGTGTGTCTTTATAAAACTTAAATCGCAAGAACGCACGCTTTTCTCGCGTACAATATATGCGTTTGAGAAAGACGGTGTTTATTTCAGAACATGCGACTTTTTGTTGCGTATCTAGGTGCGACAAGAGGCCGGCAAGCTTACCGGTGGTAGTGGAGGGCCGTCACGTGCTCAGAATTGATGCCACAGTCGCGAAAAACCTAGCATTGCTCCTGTCGGATCTCGCCACGCGGGATCAGAAGATCATTTTTTGGAATTGGTGCGAGGACGCCAGACGGACTTTGATAAGTTACGACCCGTCACTCGCGAACTATTGTAAATCGTCCGGCAGCATAGCGCAGATATTTGCAGGTAAACTTTCAGTCTCTCACTTTGTCGCTTTCTCTCGACAAAAAAATTGCTTGTTTACGAATAGAATTTCTGAGAATTATAATGGGTGTTTTCTTTGAAGTATTTGTATGATATTTCTTTTTCTAACGTGATCTGGATATAAAGAAAGATCCGGGTTGAAAAAACGGATTGAAAAATCTCTGGTAATGCATAAATCTAAATAATTTGGCATTCAGGTACGATCGATATTTTTTATATTCATTAACGACATAAATGTATGTAATTGGCCCTTCTTTTTTTATTGAGTTCTCGAGTAACTTCTTGAATAACGACTTGATGTAAAAGGCATTATTGTAGGTATGTCATAGCGTTCTGAAAATTACTTTCATATTTACAGCAGGGTGAATATTTAAAGCAGCGTATCAAAGAAGATAGATGCCATTTATAAGAACATAAAATGAATACCAAGAGTATTCCTTTCAATTTTCTCGATATTTTCACGAAAATTAAATAAGATAAATTTGTGATTGTTTTATTTAAAATACATAAATAATCTAATCCGAGGGTGTATTGATTGTAATCGCGTATTGGTGTAATCATGTATTGATTGTATCGGATATTAAGGATAATCGTTTTTACATAGTTTTCTATTAAAAAGTATCCTACTTTTGCATCATCATTAACGCCATGACGCATTAGTTTGCGAGTTTACGAACCGCATATTTCTCTTCCCGATACTCGAGGGGAAAGGGCGGACGGCGTTTCGAAATTTTCCGCGCTTTATCAGGCTCGACGTGACGCGCGCGAGTTTGCAAATTTACGAGCCCCTGCGCTTTTGAGGAGGGCACATCCGATGGTACTCGAGGGGGGTTAATGGATTGTGGCGTCTCTGAAAATTTCCGTATTATCAAACTCGACGAGACGTGAAGTTCGACGAGAGCACATTTGCGAAGAAAAAAAATTTGTGGTTTTATCACTTTTTTTTCGAGAAGAATAGAAACGTGAAAGACAGTTCTTCTCGATAGAAAATTTCGTTCGATCAGAGGAGCTTTTTCAAGACATTATGTATTCGCGAAAGGCATCTATATGCACGTTTTTGTGCATCTAAACTCTGAACAGTGGACTTTTACATGGCTTTCCAATTATAACATCAAATATCTTGAAATTAAGATATGAGCCAGACATTTTCCTTTCTATATTTTCTGACTTCAAAGGAAAAATATTCAATCTCTCACAAAATATTTTATATCCAAATAAGAGCGCTAGATTCGCCACGATAAAAATGATGAGTATTTAAAAAAATTCTCCTAAAATGATTCTTCAAAAATAATTTTGCCAAAAAAAATTTAGAGATGCACTTTATATCATTTCTACGCGTTTGCAAACATTATTTTGATCGAGTTTCCTCCTCAAAATGTCATAAAATACAATATCGTAAAATTATCGGACCAAACTTAATTCCCAAGATATTTTATTCCATTGATTATAATTGGACACCCTGTGCATGCTGCAGCTGCGATCGAACATCGCGGGCATTTACGCGGCGACCTATATCATCACGTATGCGCATACCGAATCACTTATGACAACCCCTCTTCCTCTCCGCTCCCCGGTGTACCGGAGTATTACACTTCGAACGTACACCATATTGTTTCTATCGTGTAACGGCCGCGGCGCGAGGCGGTAGTTACATATAACAGAGCTCGCAGTATTCTAAACTCGTTTCATTTCGCATAGAAAAAACAAATCTCCGCTTAATTCGGGCATCGATACGCAGCTGACATATTAATCTGTCATAAAAATTTTATGCAGTATATTCAATCAAATTGTTTTGAATTATTCCCAATTTGAGATTAATTATATATATATATATATATATATATATATATATATATATATATATTTTTTTTTTTTATATAATGTATTAAATATAAAAAAAATAAATATAAAAGTAAAAAAATATAAATATATATAAATAAATATGTATATATATATGAAATGTAAATATAGGGTGAGTTAATAATTATTCACTCTATTTCTATAATTTATTAGAACAACAGTGGAGAATTACGATTACATCATTTTTCAACATAGCCCCCTTTTCAATGCACTTGCTTTAGGTGCATATACTCTAAAAAAAAAAATGTTTTTAGTTTGTCTCTCAGCCATGTATATGCACCGCTTCTTGCATATGTTGGTCCGTGGCAAATCGACGACCTCTTAAGGTGGTCAAGTGGACCAAACAGGTGGTAACGCCGAAGCCTATTGTCGGAAGATGTTTTGTTGCATGACAATGCACGCCCACATACTGCTGTCCACACCGTTCAAACGCTTCAGAAACTGGGCTTCGAGGTATTGGAGCATCCTGCATACAGTCCAGATCTCGCTCCCTCGGATTACCATCTGTTTGGTTTACTTAAAGATGCCTTAAGAGGTCGTCGACTTGTTACATAGACCAACATGTGCAAGAAGCGGTGCATACATGGTTGAGGAATAAACAAAAAAAAACTTTTTACCGAGGGTATATGCAAGCATTGTGGAACGCTAGAATTAGTGCGTTGAAAAGCAAGGGGACTGTATTAAAAAACAACGTAATTGTACATTCTCTATTGTTGTTCTAATAAAAATTACAGAATTAGAATGCGAATAATTATTGACTCATCCTCGTATTAATATTCAAAATAACCATTAGTGATATGTAGAATTTAATGTGTGATTTCTCTTCCTATAATTATTCTATCAATCTATCGATTGTTTCAAAAGTTTTAATAAATATTTGTTCCAAAGTCTCCATTATTTATTCATTTTCAACTGATATTTTTTCATAATTTCAGAAAAAAGAAACTTATTTAGATATCAAAGAACTCTATATGCAACACAATATGCAGACTGTACATATATTTTACCTCCCTTTCGCAATAATCGTTGTTAGTAATTACAAGATTTTACAATAATGACTGTCGAACACAATAATTAGATATGCATCTGCTTTTTTGTTTTCAGGTGAGACCGTGATTCGCTGACAGAGCTACCGCCATAACAGACCCTGTGTTCACTAGGATAAATTGTTAAGCGCCCAAGTTTTCGAGGCGCAACGTTAACGTGTACAGCATTTGTGATAATAATATTAAACGTGAATTTCGAAAACAACCATTTTCTTATGCATTCACAGCGTTCCCCTTGTGCATTCTACAGTGAAATGTATATAAACGTATACGCTATTATAGTGTAATGTAAACGATAATGCGATCACAGCCACAAGGTGCACGTAGATTATTGATAATATTATTTTTATCGTCGGGAAGGCGATGAACGTGTTACATCAACGACAGGGTTGTTACCCTTCATTTTTATCATCGTTCCTTTATTATAGAACGAGCGATCTTTTTCTGGATCAGTTGTTAATATACTATCCAAGATTATCGACTGAAATTATAAAGCAGAACTCTCTACACAGTCAATATAACTTACAGTATATACATTTATATGTATATTCCTTCTTTCATTTCCTTTTTTTTCTCTCTTTTGTTCCCTTTTTTTTATACGTACAGGATATCCCAGAATTCGCGAATTAAAATACTGTGAGAGTGTTCTCGAGTAATTAAGTATATCAAAAAGTCTTGCAATTTTTTCATTCTAACAATTTTTAACAATTCAGCAACAATTCTTTGTTCAACCGCAGGCTACGGTTAAAAGTGATTACTTGGTCTGCAGATCACGCGCGCAATAAATAAAGTTAACGACCGCGCACTTCGCGCGCTCATTGATGCTTTAAAAATAAAAAAATTGTTACTATCCAGTATATCACCCGTGTACGATGATCATGTGTATATGAACCATCGAAATATCGATCGTAAATTAGTATATGCATAAGCGAACGGCAGCATAATTTTTTGTCTAACGTGTGCAAACGCCGGGTAAAGTACACGGTCATCGCACGGTATACACGCGAGTCATGGACAGGCAGTGTCGTTTAATCGCCGCTCGTGAGTGGCCATTTTTAAGCTCTCGGAATTCAGGAATTGTTACTCGGAATAAAATATCGCCAGGACTTTTATTATCACTTAATTTTTTAACGCTTTCCTTGCTACAGTATATTCATTCGCAAATTTATGTGTGCGAATTTGTAAGTGTATAAATATATGTTTATATAATTATATAATTATAAAATTTTAATTACATGTATATGTATATAATTATATAATTACATATATATATACATATATATATATTTTTTAATATAGCTTTGTAATTATATGTTATTATGTCTGATATATGCATATAATATTTTCATATTTAATATATTCATACATAATAAGAAAAAATTGTCTTATTCCGATTATACATCGTACATAACAAATTGCCGCCTAACGCGCGATTCCTCGACGCGAGAATCCCCACCCTCGGCGAGATAAACAAATTCCGGGTGAGAATTTACAATATTTACATATAAACAAATTTACATACATTTTGCGCCGTCTGCAGTATTAGATTCTCCAACATCAGAAATCATTTCTCGCTTCGTCGATTCCCGACGAAGAAGCGGATCCACGAACCCAGAGGAGTGCAGTGCCGTGCTCGCGGCCTCCGAGCGCGAGCGGGTCGGAGTTCGCGAGCTTCGAACGCGCCCTTTCGCTCGGCAGGGACGCGCAAGCGTGTAAACGGCGTGCGCCGCGCGGCCAATCGCGGCCCCGCGGGTAGTAGAGGGTGCTCCGATCGATGCGGCCGACGGCGGCCGCGAGCCGAGAGCGTGTTCGCGTCACCGCGACGTCGGTCGTCGGTGTCGGTTTGGTTTCGCGCGGCGCGGCTCGCACAGCGTCACGGCGTGATGAGACCCGCTCACGATTAGGTCGATCGGGGCCGACCCGGTGAAGGCAGGGTTGCGTGCGTGCGTACGCGCGTACACGCGTGTTACCTACCTATACTCGCTCTCACCCGCCCGTCCCGCAGGTCCTGCTTCCTCTGGGATCCGTCGCACGGAGGCTTTCTTCCCTTCGGCTTCCGTCGCGCGTACGTATTAATACGTTCCCCGCGGCCGTCGGATGCGTCGCGACGGCGTGCCGCTCGCCGCACCTTTTTGTTTACCCGCCCGATGGTTGGCGACGCTCGAGATCGTCGTCGCGATATGAGCGCGAGGCGCACGGCCGCGGCCGGCGGTGGCAGCTGTCACAGGGATGTCGGAGTCGGGACACCGCGGACAGGCGACGGGACATCGCGCGGACGTCGTGCGCTAATCGTGAGTAAAAGAATCTCTTTTATTACGCACCGACGAAGGGCGGCCCGACGAAGGACGCCTCGGCGCGCTGCGCCGCGCAAGGGTTGCGCCGCTCGGCGCTCGCTGCACCGCGAGGTCGGTGTACCGCGCCGTGTGCACGCTCGATACTTAATTTTTTCCACCTATCCGCTTTTTCCGCCCGTCCTTCACGCGCGAGGCGAGATCGAGGGGGAGCTTTCGATCTGCCTCTGCGAGTCGCTTAAATCGCCGAAAGTACGACGTGGCCCCAGCTGGGCAGGAAGGGCTGGTGGAATTCGGCGGGTGAACGAGCTTAATTTTCGTGAAGCAGAAGGTAATTAAGCGACTTGAGAGACATTTGTGTCTTTATTTTTCTTCTGGCTCGCGAAGGTGAACATTTAAAGTTAAGTTAGAGATCAACTCCGTCGGCTGTAGTCATACTTGCTTAGAATTTTTTTTTTAATAATAAATGTACGCTTATTCAAAACGCCGTGTACACCGGATACATTTCGACGTTCCTCTTCTCCATTTCAGTTTTTCTCAACGCTGATTATGCATTTGCAGAAAGATCTTTCGTGAATTTCTATATTAAGGAGACTGTGGGAATGCTGGCTTATTCACAGCGCCATAATTATTTCCTTTCCGTATTCAGCGTTTTTAGGTTTATCCACGCTTTTTTGGGATACGAATGTTTCTCTTAAATTCATCCCGTTTTCTTATTTAATTGTAAATTCAGCTTTTCTTATTTCTTATTGCGCTCCGCGTTGCGAGTATACAATTGGCTCTTCTGTTGGGTCTCTTCTACAAATCTAGATCGGTCTGTGTATATTTACTTCGCAGACCGAGTTCCTTTAAGTTTTCGATACGGTCGATTGAAAACGCCAATTAAGCTTTCATTCGCGTAATCGTCTGAAAGGATATCGACGAGATATTGACAAAACATTTATTTTTCTTTTTCATCTTAAAAACTCGTGAAACCTATAAGCAGTACTGCTAGCTCGAAATTATTAATAAAAAGTATATATAAGAGAGTAAGGTGTTCCACTTCCCGCACATTATTTCTTAACCCTAGAATCCATGACTGGGGTCGATTTCGACCCCAGGCGAACTTTGAACTACGCTCCTGAGCTAGCGAGTGACATTATCGACTCAGGACCTGAACCATAATTCATTTCAACTTTCTAAAAGTAGGGTTATGTCGGGCGCAGCGTTAGTTGTTCGCTAGCAGTGAAGTAGCACAGTCGTAAAGCGGGCGTGGGGTCGATATCGACCCCAGTCGTGACTTGCCGTTTGAGTTTCGTCACGGTAAGCTAATTTTATTTTTTCGCTAGAATCAATATATATCATGTATTATTACGTAATCTGAGCATAAATAGTCATAAATATTATTTAAGACGAAATATCACACAATTTAGTCGGTAAAAATCCCGTTGCCTAAGAAGATTGACATTTCGCAGAAAATGGCTGGGCGATATAATGTTTCATTTTTTTCATATTTTTTACTATTTTGTATCAAATAAAAATGAAATAATACTTAAAATACAATTTTTTATGGTTTTTTCATCGACTTTTTCCGTATTTCAACTTTGCGAATTTCTTCATCTTTATAGTCCCAAATAAATATACTTTTTGAACAGAACATAGCGATGACAATTTTTTTCTAATAGTCTAATGTGTCCTCTTTAAAACCCCGTTTGAAATTTTAAAATCGGTTGATTACAAAAAAAGATACAAATTTTTGTTTAAAAAAAGAGGTTTTTGCTGATTTTCTGCGTTTTTCAGTCTTTAAATGGATTTTTCACTAACTAAACTTGAGTAAAATTAAATTTACCGTATACCATTCTCTTCGTTATTAAAAAACGAAGAAATTCATGTAGGTTTAAAGGCCCTTTATTTCTGTAGGACCGGTTTTACGATCAAATAAAGCGTGGGGTCGATATTGCCCCCAGTCATGGATTAGAAGGTCAAAAAAATGTATCATGGATTCTAGGGTTAACGACAAAGTCCTCGATAAGTCTGGAATCAATTTCTCTTTTAGAAATTATCGAGAGAGATCGTCTTTTACGAAAAACTCTTCAACTTTTCAGCGACACATTTTCCGATTAAGCTCCAAATCGAAATTTTATTAAAACGAACTATATTCAAGATTAACTGAATAATTCTAATTCATTTGAATCCTTAAGTTTTATTCAGCTTTTTTTCCCATTCGCTTATAATACGGAAACCGTGCTCCAACATTTTCTCTAAAAAAAAAGTAATCTCTAGATGGATTAAAGAATTTGTCGTTAAAAAATAATCTGCGGAAAGTAGGGCACTCATTGTCAGTAATGTTCCTCTGCGCGCGTGTGTGTTTAATGCACGAAATATTTTTCTTTATATTTGATATACATATGTGTATAAATGATATATAAATGATATAAATTCCCACCCATCGCGCTTTTAACGTCAACGGAAAATATTGACTTGCGGTCTTCACTAATGCAGGAGGCAGGTTTATCTCAATCTTCATTATATGTAACCGGATATGTGATACAAGTTCAAACCACATGAAACGATAGCTTGTATAACAGGTGACGTTCATGTATTTAATACACACACGAAGAATTGCTGTCGAGCCGAATGTTGTCTTATCGCGACGTCAATATTTTTTTTTTTGCGTTATTTGTCGCACGAATACGCACTCGCCGAACACTGAATTCCCATTCCCATATATTAGATTATGTCGATTAAGCCTGTAGATTATATTTGATTGTGTCACTGCGTTTTAGCTCCGATTTTCCTCGCTTATATATCACCGATTAAACGGTTTGCCGATAAATGCGAATAAATACCACGTGATATCGTAGCAATTATGGACAATATACTCGGCATTCCGGGCCAACGTCAATTTCCGGGCCGCTTTATTGTTCGTTGACGTTACAAATTGTTTTCTTGCGCCTATTACACGTATTTGATTTGCGTACTACAAAGTAGAAATACAAATTCAATCGATATACGTGTACATGGAACAAGAAGTCGTGCATCATTAAACGCGCACGTGATTACCTACATGTGATTACGTGGACATAAACGGTTATAGACAAATCATTTCTAGAAATTTTTTTCTTTCCGGTGAAAATCTCTCTTACCATTAGTCGTAATGTTTATCAGTTATTGAGCCGAAGGCTGAGATTGTTAAGTTTAATTCGACTTATTTATTATTCAACTAACGCAATTATATGATATTGTATAAGAACCTTTTATTTCTCATTTATTATTTTTAGTTATTACAATTATGTTCGAAAATAGACTAATTATTGCAATGATTGACGGGACTGTGTAATTTTTAATTACACTGTAATCTATATATATATACATTTATGCACTGTTAAATTAGTGTCAAATTATACTCAATTTGAGTCCTTTTTAACCATTCCTAAAAGTTTTCACTGCTCCTGCCGGCTCCTGCTTAATATATCGTTAATTTAACTAAAGCAATGTTAGTTTAATTAAACTAATAGAGTTAAAATAATATTGCTTTGTGTTAAAATAATAAATTTCGACACACATGATAGTTAAACATAACCCAATGCGTTGTTATTTAGCTCAAGATATTGGTTTAAAATTCATCCTTTAATATTTAACGTATTACATCGCGTGTAAAAGTTTCGTTAACGTCTTTATAGTTAACGATTTCTCTTCACTTTTCTTTTGATAACTCGAAAACGAAGGATATAGAGGATATAGCGGAAGATAAATTATTTTCACCATTTTCGATACCCACCGGAACGGTTAGTGACCGATTTTTCCCGCTTTATGTAATCCCGACGGGCGAGCACACGCTCGCGAACGCCTAGATAAAACGGCCTCGAGATAAGAGGATTAAGTGTCGCCTGCTCGCGCGCGCGCGACGCGCGACACATCCGCGCGCCGGAAGCGAGGGAAGCGCGCGCGTGTCACTTATGAAAAATCGCGTCTTTTTGTCTTTTTTTTTTTTCAACGCGGATAATATCCACTTTGCGCCGCGTAGGTGGAGATCGAGATCGCGATAGACTATAGAGCATCACGGGGGTATATCGTATGGAAGCGTTTAAATGAGCTCGTTCGCAGTTTGTTTCGCGATTCGCGTGGATGATAACGGATCGCTTTATCTTTATATATTCCCGCGCGATACTCGCGTTTTACTAGCTGAGATTGTAGACTCGGCTCACTCGTCGATCGATATCACAGATTTCACGGCGATCGTTACATGGCAGAAACGAGATTGAGTATGTAAAGTTCGTTCATACATAGGACTTAATTTTCCCCGAGTGGATCCCCCGCGCGCGCGCGCGCGCGCGCGAAAGCGGGCCTTATTCCACCGTTTTCCGAGTGTGGAGAATCCCACACCGTTATATATTCTCTTTTCGGTTATGTAATCAATAACGGACCATCCTTGTGTACAGACCGGGGCGCTGAGTAATCACCTGCAATTTTAAGCGAGCGCTATTGAAGGTTATTGATTCTTTTAATAATACGAACACGTGCGCACACGAGAGTGGCATAATAGGCTTTTTCCAGACGATCGATGCGCAATCAAAAGGGCTCCGAGGACACTCGGCGTATTGAATATGCGAAGGTAGAAATAAATTAATAGAAATTCGCACAACGCACACACAAAACGTAACTCCGCGGAAGCGAACAAATTTGTAGGAAAAAAATTAACACCGCGAGCGAGAATTTATGACGTTCATTTTTTTTTACGTAGATTTGTCGACATTTTTCAAGAATTAAAGACGGTAAATCGCGGAAAATTTAGATTTCGATTTATATACGATAAATCGCGGAATAATTATAAAATATATTAAACAACTATTTGTATTGTTTATTTTTATACACAGATTATATGAAAATCTAAAATGTGATTTGTAACATAAAATACCTTGAAAGTTTCTTACTCTTTATTTATCCTCCTTGGATTTGCAAAGTTCGAGATTAATTAACGGTGTTACATTGTTCATTTGCTTACAGTTTCTCATCGGAAATCAATTCTTTTGATTTCTCTCATACTGGCGGCTTTTCTTCTTTCTTTTTCTCTGCCTTTCTGCATAATTCTTTAATTATAACCTCGACTATCATAGTTCGTTTCTGGCGGATACTTCGTCAGTTAAATCTGCAATTAAACTGTCAATGGCTGCACCGTTGAAAGAACTACTGTCGTGCAATTAGCGATGACGACGATTTCAGCGTCGGTGCTGCGCGTATAGGGACGCTTTATTGTTCCCGCACCGCGAAATAAATCATTTTCACTTCTGTGCCTGCCCTAATGAATCGTCCATTTTCAGCGTCGCTAAATATCGATTTGCGTAATAAAAAATTGTCGACAACTCGTTCTGAATTGAGATTGCTAAATGTAGAAGCAATCATCTACGCGAGCGATTTATTTTCTACGGCTAATGATTGAGCATGTGTGCTTTGCATATTTGTCACTTCAGTTGATTAAAAAATTTATTTATTTCAAAATGTTTTTATTTTTTTAGGTGATTTTATATATAATCTTGTTTTATATTTTGTAATACCGTTGCTTCAGTTATGAGAAAGAGACTATTTTTATATAAAACTAAAATAATATTGGGAAAAGTAATAATATAACGAATTTCGTATATACGTGTAGTAAAGGTTCTCGAAGCTTTTTTCGTTCTGCAGTCTTTTATTTTTAAATTATTCAAGCGTGTTTATCTCTGCGGTTTCGTATCTCATTACAAATCCGTGTGCACTCAGAACAGTTTAAAAATACTTGACGTCCTTTCTTTTCGAAACATTGATTGTTTTCGTTTGAATATATTAATATTATATTACCGAAATCGTATTTTACTAAAGTTAATAAACATATATATTACCGAAATTGTATTTTTATCACACTGTTCTTAAAACAGAAACTATGAATATGAACGCAAAATCTCTAGAAGCAAAATATATCAAAGAATGTCACATGATATAATTCCATTCCGGCAGTAAAAGAACAGTGTATGAATTTTCCTACATTTTTAACATTACCTCCCGAGATTTCTTTCAAGATAATCGCTTCCGATAGATCCTTTTGAGACGGCGGGATGAAAAGAGCGCTAGTTTGCAATCTTGGACGGTGTCTTGTATTACCTACAGGTCACGACGTCAGGAAAGCGGAGGAAATTTTCCGACGTTGGAATACATTATGGCCTAGTAAAGGAATCGATCGACGCAACAGGCGGAAGGAAATAATATCCGTTGCGGTCAAACTGACCGGATTGGCCTTAGGGCCTCCCATGCTAATTTCCGTCCGATATAAATGCCGATAAATATGTGTTAAGAGAGAGAGAAAGAGAGAGATATGGGGGCAAAAATAGAAAAATGACTGTTGATTACCATATCGTAATTTCAGAACGCATTCGCGCGTCCACACTTCATTTATTCATATAGTTATTTTACTTTGGCCACGCATAATTAAATTCGAATAAGAAGGAATCTCTGAAAAGCTCAATGATTTGTCTTCTTAACAAATTCTTTTATAAATATGAAAGTCGCTATAATCTTAACAAATTTTCTACCTTGATTGGATATAAAGAATTTAAATTCCTATAAAATGTACTATTACTAAAAAAAAAAAAACTACTCAAATATCTCAAATTAGATTAACTCTTTTCAATTCTGATTTTTTCTTTATAAACAATATATTACATGTACAAAAGCGAGAAAATAAAGCATTTTTAATGAAAAGCGTTGGGAACTTAACTTCGAAAAATGCATTCCACACTTTCGATGCGACGGTCTTCTCGCGAGCTTAACATCTTCCAGATCGTAATTTCGTTCTTTGACGTTGCGCGTGATTAAATACGTCCGGGAAGGTCCGTTGTTCATTTGCGCGCCCTGGCGTAATATTATCTGTCGGCAGCAGCGTTAAACGACGTCGCTAATTTATTGCGATACTCCTCCGCTCGGAGTCTCGGTTTTAGGTCGCCTTCTTCATTTATGCAAAACCAGTGTAGCCAGCGTGGTCTCGAAGCGAGAGCCCCCGGAGCTACTTGTTCCTTTGGCGCTTATATAAAAAGAGAGTGCAGATGAAGTAGTGAAAAGCGAGTCAGTTGTGAGTTGAAGCACTTACAGAAGCAGTCAAAAGTTAGTACCGGTGTCCGCTCGTTACGGCTGACTGTACGAGGATTTATCCACTGCGGCTTTACTGCTGACGAGTTATGCCGTCGCGTCGTAATATCATGCACCTAACTGTCGTAACTGATGCCTCTCACACATCATTTTGCACGCTCTGTCAAGATATGTATACCTTTATGTTATTAAAAAAGAAAATATGCGTGCATTAATATATAATATGCATTAAATATTAAAAATATTTATTATATAAAACTAATCCATATTAAAGATGTAATATTATATATAATATCTGTAACATGAGAATTATTTTTGGGTAATATTATATTATACGTTCGAATATATATGTATTGTATATTATAAAAATATACTTTTTTCTAAATAATAGTTTTGTAATGTCGTTGATCAAAATAGAATTTTTCTGAAAAATTCGGTTTTGTATTATTACACAGTAAAAAATTTAATATCCCAGAAAGTCCACTCTAAATTTTGTGTTAAAATAACTCATGCATTGTGTTATTTTTTACATTTAGAAATGTGATTTTAGTCGATATAACATTTCTAAATGTAAAAAATAACGCAATGCATGAGTTATTTTAACACAAAATTTAGAGTGGACTTTCTGGGATATTAAATTTTTTACAGTGTATTTTCAGCTAGAATAAATAATGTAGAGAACAAATATATCGAAGAGCTTATTAATATTTATTACTAATATACATAATTATATTCAGAATCGGATCTCGGCGAGAATAACAAGATATTTTTATTCGTCACAACTTTTTTTTTTATTTTTAACGCCACGCTTGATAAGCGAACTTCAAATGAAAAGTCTGTTGGAGACTTGAAGTAAAAACGGCTGGGAGGATGATAATAGTATAGAGCAAAGTTTCATTCGTTCGCAGCTTTCCAAGTCACGACTGTGGTTTCTATTTTTCGTATAAACTGTCAAGATTTTAAAATATGTTTTGCTAGATCCGAGACATCTTGCGTACATAGTACCGGATTTGACTGCATTGCTCTTTTATAAAGTGCCCCGTGTATAAACGGCGAAACCTGTCCCCGGGAGATAAATTGCAACGTAAATCTTCCGTGGCACGACTTATTCGCGCCAAAGTGTGTATTTCTTTCTATAAAACGCTCTCCGGGAAACAAAATAGTGCAGAAATGATAACGATCTAATTATTATGACAGAAATTAATGTAGAATCAGATTATTAATGCCCAGCCAGATCTACAATCATGATTTTTGTGGAGAATGTTCCGATATTTCGACGACGACAATAAAAGTATTTGCTAGTTTAAATATTGAAGGAGACATTAATATTTTAGCAATTTTTATGTCTCCTTATCTTTTCATGAATTGTAGTTACATGGTATAGTCTTAAAACAAATAATATATTTTATATATTATTGTCGATATGGCGATGTATACATAATAAATATGCACAATAATTAAATTTGTATAAAAAATAGCTTTACAACTAACAGTTTTACTATGCATAATTAATTTTTGGTGTATGCGTGTTTTGAAGAAATACCGACACGGTGTTTTTTTTTTTGGTATCATTAAAAGCGTTCTTTCGCACGCGATCCAGTCATTAGGATTGTCGATTGTCGTAAGATAATCGTATAATTCATGCTACGGTGTCTTCTCAGACGCGGAATTGTGTTAGCGTCATGATTTTTAGCGTCTAGTCAGATATACGCCGTTGAAATATTTTCAACTTGACCATTGCCGCGTTTCCACGTTAGTGCATACGAAGTAAACGTATGTTGCGTAAAAATAGTCTCGTTCTCGTTATCAAACGCATAACATTAGCGTTATCGATGCATTATTCTGTAATGTTTTTCGATTTGTTACAATACTTTAAACAAACTATTGCATTAGAATTTTACTCTAACTAGTTTTACTCTAATATGCCGCAAGGATTTAATTGGCTCGATACACATAATTGCGAGATCGCAAATGAATGCGATATCATATTGATCATAAATTATTAGCCATCATTTTTCAGTAATTTATGAAATGAATGACTAAATAATATATTACTTTATGGCTGTATTGATTTTATCATTAATATAAATAATTTTATCGGATTTAGTTTTAATTATTATTAATAACAATTCGTTTCGTTTCCATGTGAGCAATGCACATTTGCGGATAATAAAATGATAAATTATTTATGTAGCGAGATAATATTCAAGTAGCGACGAACACATAAAACGTGAAACATTTTATTCGGAATAGAAATAAATTAATAATTTCCATATAATTATTTCCAGGAGCTACTATCTCCATGCTTGGCAGCGATTTTCTTGGAACCACTTTAAGTAAGTAGCCGACAATATAAATTTAAATATGTAATTAAAATTTTCTCAATTAAGTTCTCCGCTCAAACTTTCGTTATCCTTTTTTTTTTCTCCTCTGTCTGTTTTATATTAAGGGGCCTATTCTGTAAACGCTAACGACATCATTACGTGCTTTGCGCCGATATAATATATCACAGAAAAGCTGCGCAAAGCATATAACGATATCGTTAATGTTTACGGAATAGGCCTCTAAGATTACAAAGGATTTAACGTCAATGCATCGATACGGAAGGTTGCAGAAGATTATTTCGGAAAATAAAATAGATCCAAAGTATTTTGCTCGTGTTTCATTGTGTTTTGTATGTTTCTCGTGCCAAGTTGGTTTTCTTTGACATTTAACAGGGACATTTTTTATCGCTTTTATTCACATTTTATCATTTTTATTAATGTTTTATAGTTATAGTGTCTAGTTTTGTTTATATTTACAGAAGTAATTTTGCTGCGCTTTGATTTTTTAGTACAAGCAAACTTTGACATTAGCTTCCGTGTCGTTAAATGTTATTGAAATCTCTCGTGTTTTGATTCGGATGAGAACGCGCGCGAGTGCATGACTATCACAAAGTGTCGCTTATAGAATCACCCCTCCGGCATGGGCTCGGGCAGAAGATCCGGCTCCGGGGGGAGCCGAGCGAACGCTGGCGTACTCAAGGAGCGCGCAAACATGTCGTTCATGCTGGTCGTCATGTTTTTCGCCGTGTTCGGCCTGATCGTCCTCACGGAGATATTCCTGATCGACGAGAGGCGCGGCGTGAGCATCGGCGGCACCGGGGTACTCGGGGGTCACAGAAGCGGTCATCGATTGCCAGCTGCGCCCGATCGTCCGGATTACGGAGAAATTGGAGTAAGTATCCAGAGATAGAGATAGATAGATAGATAGATAGATAGAGAGAGAGAGAGAGAGAGGGAGAGAGGGGGGAGAGAGAGAGAGAGAGAGAGAGAGAGAGAGAAAGAGAGAGAGAGAGAGGAAGGAGAGCTATCTCGACGATTTACGTAATTTACGTAACTTCGTACATACTGGCTGATTCTGCTACGGCACGCGACTTCAATTGCTTTTCTCGGTAAATTCTCATCTTCGTGTGTATATCATTCCCTGATAACTTTCCTTATTACTTGCAGACACACATGTAAACGTTTTAAATTATTCGATAGACTGAAAAATTGTATTCTTCTTTTTTATTAATAATTCAATATTGTATTTAAAGTAACACGAGTATGATAAAAAATATTATTCTACAATATAATATTAGAATAGGTAGCTGTTGTGTCATTCGTATTTATTTTTCATATTTCTTTCTTTAAATATTACGATTGCATTATTTATTTTAATTTTATAGTACTTTTTCTGGGTGGATTAAAGAGTTATTTTTAGAACTATAATTTTACAAAATATATATAGTTTTTTATAAAATTTATGTAATTTATAAAACATATATAGTATTTATATAGATATTGTATTTTTAATCTCTTTATCTTTATATTATCTCTTAATCTTTTTAATTTATTTGTCGCTCTTATTGTTAGTAATTCTCTCGAAACTTTTTATTATAAGTTAGAGGCTACAGGTTCTAGAGTGGAGGGATGGAGTCGTTGACTTTATATATTTCTCTTTCTTCACGAGAGAACACGAACAAAACAAACACACACAAGGCAATGGTAGTAAAGCGAGAAAAAACTCGGGTGAGAAGGCCGAAAAACTTTAGTTACCACGTGCAACATCGATTTCTCGAGCGTACGCCTCGTTCTTTTCCCCTCCCCTCTCTTCCTTCGTCGATATCTGTACCTACTGTATATAGTTTATGCACCCTTTGCGTCTAGTACCGGACAATGATTCACGCGAACCTCCAAGAACTTTGAGGGGAAAAATAGCTCTGCACAGCAGCTTGCTTCAACGACGCCCCAACGTGGTTCGGGAAAAGACATACGACCGCAGTGGAAAAGTTTAACCGGATACGAGCGAGCGACCACCTGACAAATTAGTTTGCTCGATCCCGCGGAACTTTCTTCATCCGTTTACATTTCCCGTCGAGATACTGCGAGGAAAGCCCGAGTATTTTTAAAACTCGTCTCGCGACTTGACCGTTCTAACAATCTTTGAGTTTGAGACCCAATTTGATTTGACTTCGAAGAGACACAAACTGATTTTGTAGATCTTGTTCTATTAACCGTGTCTGTTAATTGGCTTTCGAAAGAAAATTTGTCATTTAAAGTAATGAAAATAGCTACTTGACATTTCAGCGATTAAAATGTAGAACTTTTTCGGGAGGGCTGAAACTAATTTTTTTTTTTTTTTATTTCTGGATGGGCAGGTAATTTTACAGAGACAGATTTTGCACTACCGTTTCTCAAATGCGGATATATCGCCAATGTATTAATTATCAGTCGATATTAACACGTAAGTAATCTTGATGTCTTCAGGCCGAAGATTACGCCGGTTTGAAGGGTAGCTTTGACGAGCATGTCGGATTACTGGTTCGCGGGGAAGACGGGGGTCAGAAGACGGTAATACACCCGGATCCGCGTGGCTTACCGAGTTTACCACCTAGCTTGGAGGCTCGTTTACCGCAGTTGGATCAGAACCTAAAGGTCACGCATGCCGAATGGTTGCCAGTCACTAACACAAGGTTCGTTCGATTATATTTGATAATCACGTAACTAAGTTGAGCTTGTACTTTCCCTTAATTTTCGAGTTTTAGCTTCTCAAAATCGCATATTAACCGTGCAATAAATAAATTTTGTTTCTACAGCTTCGTTAATTCTATTGCTTCTTGAGGACTCGAAATAATCCTTTACACTTTACATCAAATAGCTTAAAAAGTCCGATACATAAAACGTGAAGCATTAATAAAAACAATAAAGTAATTGTCTATACATTTTGTAATGAGAGATGTGTGTTTGGTCTAGGTTCAAATTTTTCGTTTATTCGGCATATTTCGACAACAGAGTTAGCGGCGCGGGTACGCCGGCTGGCGGCAAAAGTCAGGGTGTGGTACGTGTGATTAGCGCTACTAAAACCAGAGGACCGGAGCGCGTCTGGTGTAGGCTCTGGTACCGACAGCAAAACGGTGCAAACGTCACTGCCTCGGTAACAGTAGCTGCCAAAGTTAAGGTACGCTCTTTCCAGAGAAACAATATTGTTTCAAGATCTAACTATTCCAAAGAAACATTATTTCAGTTACCTTGGTATATCAGTTGCTTATTGAAGATCTGGCTTATTGTACTCCATACAGAATTTTTTAAATAAAGCAAAAGAAATGAGACACAACATAGGAATAAAGTGTTTTTGAGAAAAATGTATATCTCTGTATATAAATTGGAAGGTAGAAATAATAATTTTTTTTATATTATAAACAAGAAATTGTTTTCAAAACGTTCAAGAAACTTTTAGAAACTCTTTAACACATTCGAGACTGCCGAAATATGTTCAAAACTTTCAAAAATCTTGTTTTTAATTAATATAAATAATACACAAAGTCTTCGTAGTATATTCGAAATAATTCAATGTTTCTTGAACGCCCATCGTTACCTTCAGGTAATCCGGGAGAATTGGAATCTCAAGTACAGTGCCTGCTTCGTGATATGTCCGTTACCTAAAGAATCTCCGACGACGGATAAGGTGCCGGAGGCGGTCAGCGTCGTGGCGAGACTGCGAGCTGTCCCGACGAACCGTATCCTCGTACAGAATCGTTTCGAGAGCAGGATGAACGACAAGGAGGCTTTGGCTGTCTGCGTCAAACCTTTGCATTATTATTACAACAGGGTATGTTGTTTAACCGTTATATAAACGGCGTTAAATAACGGATGACCCGTAATGTAGACATGATTACATTTACCGACCTGTGTGTCAAGCCCCTATTTGCTCACATTTATCGCTTCTGTGTTTTGTTCCTATTTCGTTTCCTTTCACTATAATCAAAATTTATTATTCACATCCATTTGTTATTATTTCTGCCTTTATACGCTACATTTTTCCAATCTAACGGGATAAAAGTATTCTACTTGGTACAAAATATTTAACATTTTTCTTTTATTTCGTTATTATTTATGTTAAATAGGCTAATATAGATTTAAATGAATTTTAGGAGAATTTATATATCTGAGTATAAAAAAAAAAAAAAAACAGAAGTTCTCTCTTTTCTACAGTTCCTATCAGAAAAACATGCAATTTTATATATGCATAAAAGGAAATGTATGTAAATTGGAGGAAAGTTTGAATAGTTATTTCAATGTGTATTCTGTATTCATACAAATTTTTGCAACCTACACATTTAATTCTTTGACATTTTCCATCATATGTGTACATTACGTGGGGGTAACCGTAATAAAATGATCGCACGTGTATGATTCGAGTATAGTGATAACTACATATTCAAATCCAATTTCTGTCGCGTAATATTTTTGCTATTATCGTACCAATATAAATAATAATTTAAATATTTCTCTCTGTTGTACTTTTGAAATCTAGCGATATAATTGTGTATTTATGAGCACAAAGTGCATCCGGGTAAAAACAGGTCCATCAATGAATTTTATTTTAACCTGTGAAAACTTTTTTTTAACGGATATACTTCCGTGGAGAAATGAACGCATTACGAGAGTGTATCTCATATTTTCACGTATAAACCTGTTTGATATTTATAGGTTTTGCAGTTGGTGGAATTTATCGAGTTGCACAGACTCCTGGGCGCTACTCATGTCACTTTGTATAATGATACTGTAGGCGCGGCGGCTGGCTGTGCGCTAAAATACTACGAAAACAAGGATCTGGTTACGGTGTTACCGTGGCATCATCTCGACATGATTTCCCAGCGGGAAATTCGCACGGAGGGTCTCTTCGCGGCGCTTAACGATTGCCTCTACCGATCTATGTACAAGTACGAGTACGTGGCGCTCGTAGATCTGGACGAATATATTATACCGAGGCATAACGACACCATAATCGATCTGCTACGGTACGATACGTCTTCGTCATCTTAATACAGATCATACGTAATACAATTAATATAGCATATCTGGAAGCAAGAGTGAGAAGTTATGCATTAGAATTGTCAAATTTGTCAAATGAAATTCATTATTTTCAAATTGATAAATATGAAATAATGTAAATTAACAATACGTAAAGCTGTAAATAATTATTTACTTCAAACTTTTGCTTGCTCTTATTATAAAGATCAAGCACTGGTTTCTATACTTACAGTAATCTTAGCAAGTAATTTGGTTTTATGGATTTGTATCTGTTACGATTAAGCAGTAATTTTGAAACGGTTTCTATATAGATGGATGGGAAATCGAATTAACATCAAGTCCACGGGCGCGTTTTCCTTTCAAAACGCCTTCTTCTACCTACAATGGGCCGACGATCCATTCGTGGTGACTAGCCGTACTCCCACCGAGGCTGGTTTGATCACCCTGAAGAAAACACGGCGCAGGACCAAATTGCATCCACACAAGCAACGCTCCAAGTACATCTGTAAACCACAGGACGTGGTGGAGGCGGGCAATCATTTCGTCTGGGAATTTATTCCGGGCCATGGAACCCTGAACGTACCCTCCGATGCCGCTATTTTGCATCATTATCGCGTCTGCGAGTTCGGCGGCGACGATTGCATCAAGACACAGTCAACGGTCGATAGAACGGCCTACAAATACAGAGATCGACTCGCCACAAATGTCGACAAGACGTGGATGGAATTGCGCGCCGAATGCTCACTTCCGGAGCTCGATCCGGTCCCGGCGTTGACACCGCGAATCAAAGCCAGCCCAGTTGGCAAATCGGTCAGGTAGCGAAAAACCATCGTCGAGATCCTATGGGACATTGGCAATTTTACCGGTACGCCGAAAGTCGCGAGGACCTATTTCTACAACTACGGTGGTCCTTAGTTTTCTCAAATTGAGCTAAGCGAACTCCCAATCTTTTTTCATGAAACTCTCATCGGATCGTGTTTTTAAATTTGCGAGACAGGAGAATACGCTTACCAACGAGATAATAGAGATTGTCGCGAACAAAAAAAAAAAAGAAAAAAAAACGAGATGCGAATTAATCATATTTTTCTACGTGACGGATCCTTGAACGGTTAAAGAAATCTGGAGACAGCCTGCCAAGTCTATCGAGTTTGACGCTACATGTGGTGGTGCTTTTCTCTTACGGTTTTATACGGACTCTTCTATCTGTATCTTACAATTCTTTCGTTTGTGCAGCAAACGTGATTGTCTGCGAAACACAAATTGTATTATCGTTAAGGAGGATTGTTACGGAAGGCCTAAATCGCGGGCTAAAAGAAAGCAGTTGGTGATAAACGAGCAACATTAGATATTATTCCTATTGTACCGTTATTTCGAGGGTAAACCTTTTTTTTAGATACTTGTAAATCCACACAATGTATCTTATGCATATCCATAGGATCAATAATTAGCATAGTGATATATGTATAATATGTATTTAGGACTGATAGAAATTAAATCTGCAGAGACAGCCTAGAATACAGTATGCTCCCAAGAAAACATTACTTCAGATGCAGTTCGTTGAAAATTCTAAGATCTAACATTGAGAAAACACAAATTTATTTAAACAAAAAGATCAGTCAGTATATTTTTCTTAAAATCCTCTCCAAGATTTTATAAATTTGATTTGAAGTTTAAATGCATTCGTTTACTTTTTTTCTCATGTATCTTTTTATGCATCCGTATGTAAAAGTATATTTAAAAAATGGCTTTGTGATACAATAAATTGTTGTGCAATTCGTCCGCGTTTGAGGATGAAGAGATATGAAAGAAGTTGATTTTGCCGCACAAAATTCTATGATTATTTTCTAATCTGTCATTTTGCTAATAATTACTTAAATAATAAATAAACATCGAAAATTCCGTTCGGATCGATGATGAGAGTGACAGAAACTGTACAAGGGAATTTGATAGAAAGATAAAATGGAATTGTATCAAACGGATACAATTTACAAGATGACGAAAGGAGGATTTCTGGAAACTGAATCAGTACTTCGTAATGTACCGAATGCTGTTACGGCAGATGAATATAGCAAAGTCTTTCTATTTATTTAATACAAAGAAATCATGTTTCTTACGCGCACACACAAGTTTATGTATATATGTGTATACACGCATATGTACGTACATGACACGTACATGACATGTAAAATAGACTTAAGGTACATACATGTGATCGGTGCTGAGCTACAGTCGACGATGTGTCGACATTGATTATGTTGACGAAATTAATAAATATGATACTAGGACAATATGTACCTTAATTTTCTTATATTTCTTACATATCATTTAAAAACCTGCACGAACCGCGTTAATTATTACTTATGTAAGTATAATTAATGTATTACGATATAATTAAAAAATTATATTGCAGAAAAAGACCGTTAAATGTCACGTATTTATCGAAAAAATCATTAAATCGAAAATGCTGTTTTATTATACACTTCATACTATTGTGCAAAAATAAGAAAATTTTAACGCGCAAAACACTTGATATTGCTCTGTATTGATTTTTATTGTAGTTCAATTAATTGAAAAGTGTCTGATTATTAATAATAATTCTTATTCTTTATGGCAATAAAGACGTCACTTTTGGTATAATTTTATTTATTTTGTTGATTATCGTTTATTTCTTTATTCAATATTAACATTTAATATATTAAACTAATCTGGCTAATTGACAGAGATTACCTTACTCATTAGAAATCATCATCCGAATGCCTTTCTATCTTACTGGCGGATCGCTTTTCTTGAGCGGCTTTGAGATTGTAATTGCCTATATCTGTTGGACCCATGGAATTTAGAAGATCTTCGTCGTCATCGTCGTCAAGATCACCGTCGATCAATAAATCGCTATCGCTATCCAGCGAGCCATCACTGTCATTCGATTCCTGAATCGTACCTCTTTGCCGTCCAGACATGCTACCGTAAATGCGCCGCTGGGTATATTGCATCTTTGACGCTCTTCCAGTGCCTGGAACATTTTTAATTTGTTATTAGAAGAGTTGGAAAAACTTATTTTTTTCACATGCCTGTCTATCACACCTTCAAATATTTTATTGATTTCCAAATAATTATCAAAATTATGATATCATATAGCGTGCGAATTATTTATTATTATTTTCTATTATAAAAATTGTTACTTGGTTTGACACGGGCGGATCGACCAGATTTTTCTACCGCTGTGGCCTCCGGATTTGTAAGAGGAGTAACTAGAGGCTCTTGAAGATTCGTGGCAAATATAGAATCGTTCCCTTCCATCATGCTTTCGAAGTTCGTATCCTCAGCTCTCATTTGTTCCAGTTGTTTCTTCGTTGCAGCTTGCCTGCAATTAAGATTAATAATATTATATAATTATATCATATAATTTTTTGTATACGTTATTTGTGATTACATGTATCTTTGTATCTTGTTTTTATATTTTTATGTCGATAAATACCGTCTTTCGAATCTTTCTTGTTCCATCTTAGCCGTGTCTTCGTACAAGTGTTCGAGATATGCTAGATACCGGAATTTCTGTAAATAGTCATCGTACAAAGTTCTGAGCTCGACTTCGAGCTTCTCGAATTCCTCCATGAATGCTGGACGAACTTTCTTCAACGTATGGAGTCTCTTTTGATTCCTATCGAGCTCCGTCTTCCGTCTCTCAATTCTCGTGTCCAAGTTTTGTTCTGTATCCTTCAAAGATAAATTACATTCGTTAATTAATAAAATTACTATTGCAATCGTAAACATTTTGAGAATAGGCAAGCGAGCAATTTAAATTTTAAACACCCAAGAACTATTTTATTAGATGGAAAATTTTTACCCTGACATTATCGATCTGCTTCTTCGTTTCGTCGATCTCTTTACGCGTGTTTTCAATGACGTCTTTTAATGCCACTTCTATTTCCGAAGTGTCAAATTGCCTCGCGATTTTCGTATTGCGAACCTCTCGAAGTTCCACTTCTCGGCCGAGTAAGTCGAAGAGGGTCGCTCCGTTGATGGTTAACTGGCTCGCCAGCTGCCGAGTTGTTTTCAGCTCGTTAATTTTATCGGATATGTCGAAATTCACCGCGTTCTGATTACTGCTCGATTGATTCTGCTCGGCGTTGCTACTGCTCTGCGCGTCGTACAGCAGCGCGGCTATCTTCAACATCTCCTTCACCGCATAACCGTCGGCTTGATACAACTTCTTTGTGTTTAACTTTACATTTGTCTTCAACGCCTGGAATGTAGAGAATTACGAGTGTTACCCGTTATCAAAAACTCTCTTCAATTACCTTTTAATATTATAAAGTAAGCAAAATCTATCAAAAATAGATTTTATAGAATATCCGCTACAAATTTTGTAAAATAAGAAATATAACAGTCTTTTAACAGAATACAACAACAGATTGCAGGGGAACCGAACAGAATCTACCATTTCGTAATTATTTGTTTTATTTAAATAATTACGGGATGATAAATTCTACTCAATTTCTGCTAACATTATGTTGGTAGGTTCTACTGACATTAATGCAGATGCAGCTGATATCAATCTGTCGCAATATTCTACTTAAACCCGGCGAGCTGCAAATACTTTACTTACCAGATGGTTTAGAGTAATGAAAAAAATAAACAATAAAATGTAATTTTATTGAACAACTTAACAGAGCTGATAAGAGAGATTTAGCTGTTTTTTTTTTTAATTATGTTATTATACTATATATTAAAATAATTTACCATGAATTCAGCGACACTACGTATCAGTGCCACACGTTGGTCCTCATTATCATGATCGCTATGTATGTCAACATCTGGATCGAATCGTTTCACCAGCCAAACCAGAATCTCCGCGACCAGGGGAAAATTCGGCACGCGAAAATTCGCGAGGGAAATCAACCTCGGATAACCCAGCACCCTCATCATCTCCGTGAAATCTACACAGGCAGGCGAAAAGAAGATAAAATCGCATCACAGTTTCGTTTACATCGTATGTTTGGATTAATAATAATTTTGTATACGCACTGCGTAAATCACGGTAGGACATTTTCGCGACAAAAAGCTGAAACTCCTTCGCTGTCGAATGTAGTCGAGGCAGGCTTTCACAACCGACACTGCCTATGTTTTCTTATTCGCGGCATTCACGTTGCCATAGAAACCATCAGTATAATTACGGGTAAGAATGTGGGCAATCAACTTTTGATCATTGACGCACCGTACTTGTGCAAAAAGCGAGTATTAGCATTAGGAAAATAAACTTCCTTACATCATTTAAATTTGTTCCAAACCATTCTTTTTTATTTTCAACGAAGCAAAAGTTGCAGTCTGTCCCAATTAGATGACTTGTGCTATCAATGTATTCAGTAGATTGAGTAGATATAAAAAAAAGAGTCCAAATCGCGATTTTTCATGTGTGCAACGTAAAAGAAATTATCACAAAAGAGTATCCCTATATTCTTAATACAAATTGATCAAAGAGTTCGATTTCAATTTGCTCTCCAATGATCATTCTAATTCAACATCAGAGTTATCTTTTATCTCATACATTATAGATTATTTAAAAATTCATAGTATGATACATAAATATATAAATTCTTTTCCTTTATTTTATTTATATAGCTCATTCTTACGTACAACTATACAGTATTTGAATCAGTAACTTAAATAATTAAATAACTAAATTGATTTAAAACTCAGCCGCGGGGACTCGTCTGCTTTGCTTGAGATGGGAATGAGCTCTCTTTTCGTGTAGCCTCTCCCTAGCAGCTCTCAACAAATTTTTCCTCTTCTTCTCTTCCGATTCGGGCGACGGTTGCGGCGGTGCCACAAGAGTGGCTCTTATCATCGCTCTTAGCTTTTCAAGAGCGTCCGCCAAATTCAAGTGCTGGGATCTCGTTAAATCCGACTTGATTATTAAGTAACCGTCTTTGTTTATCCTGTTTTTGTTCTGAAACAACAATTTCACGTTTGAATCCATCGCAAGCTACTCGATGCTACCAAAGTTGTCGACGAAGATACGTTTAACTATTATTTATAACTTCAACTGACTAACTTAGACTAATGCAAATTTCATTTACGTGTACAATTCTACTCACTTGTTCCGCTAAATTCGTTCGAATTTCCTCCGACAGCCAGGTAGCACTGGCTACCTGGAATCTCAGGTCCACCTTGGTATTCACGCAGTTCACGTTCTGCCCTCCCGGTCCGCTGCTACCACTGTACGTTATCTGCACCTTGTCCATGGGTATGTAACCACTGAATTTCGCTTCAGGATTTGGTACCTGAGAATAAACAAGCAATAAATCACTCCGTTCGATCAACAGTTATGAGGTTATGTTAGTTAAGACACAGCAATTAATTACAAATAGTAATAAAAGCGATATGCGAGAGCACAGTTAACTCTATTTATTAATATTTTCAAGTAGATCAGTGTGCACTAACGAAAGTTGGAGTGTGCAGCTTCAGTTTGCTCTCCGGATAAAACTTCTCCAGGGACAAAGCGCTTTTAAAACCGGAAGCTCTAAGACTGTACGACGTCTTCTGATTCCTAACGTTGCTTCGTAAAATTCTCAAACACTGTCTCGTGACGAGATTCATTTTGATTTTTATCTCTATTACTCTTCGATGGAAGTAACTTTCGAAGGTATATATTTTGGTTACGAGGACATAACCAAGCACGTCACACAGCCGCGTTGCCGACACTCGACAGTGGCGGTCGATGCGTCGATGGCTCGATAATCGATCGTGCGGCACGTTCTCGAGACACGCCTCGACTTTTGAAATTCGAACGATATACCGTCGCAAAATTCCCGCGCGGAAGAAAATTTCTAAGAATAACGAAAAATCCAAGAAACGCCAAAATCCGCCGAAGTCGGATAATATTATCAAGATAATCTTATTTTTCAGGCATTTTCTGAGCAAAAAGGCGGCAGCAAATCGTTATTTTTCTTTTCGCGCCAGCCGAACTGCGAAATGTCCCATTTCGGTAATCGGAATGATCGGCCGCCGGCTTTCGCGGTCGCGCGGAGACCTTTAACAGTCTCATTGTTGTGCATACGCTTTAAGTATTGGCGCAACAGCGGTTTTGCAAGCGGCGGATTGCGGCACGGAGCGCATTCTGAAAATCATGGTAATAATCGACGCCGGAGCCTCGCGCGATCCACCGCAAGGACACGGAACTCCGCGACTGTGGCATTGCCGTTTTTCCTTTTTTTTTGTCCCCTCTTCTTTTCCCGGCGAAATACTGTGACGAGGCCACCTCGCTCTTCGCCTCGGGTTAACGCTCCGACGACGCCGCCGCGAAAACCGTCAACGACCGTCGCCTCGCGTCGCACTTTTATACGATATTTATCAGAGGAAAAGTGAAAACGGATTGGCGTCGGATAAGTTCTTACGACGTTGTGTGGATGAGATGCGATAAATATTAATTCTTCGACACGTCATCGATATTAGGAGAGAGGTAAGAATACCGATATTCTGGCTTTAACATAAGTACTTTTAATAAATTTGAAATTATAAATTAGAGCAAATAATATTTACATAACATAATATAATATAGTATATATTATAATATATATCTAATATAATACAAATAAAAATATACTATACTCTCTTTTTATATTAATTTATATCTACATATGGAGCGGTAAAAGCCATAGTGGTGTAAGTCAAACTTTTTTAAGTATTGTCTTGTATGCATAGATGCAATTTATATATTGTATAGATTGCATCTATGCACACGAGTCAATATTTAAAAAAATTTGACTTGCACCACTATGGCTTTTACCCCTCCATATATTACATATATAAAGACCGATATAATCTGAATTACATCATTACACCGTATTACAAATATTTAAGTTTTATTAATTTTCTTAAGAGCACGTCATTGTTTTCTTTGCTCGGTTACTCGTGGCTTACGACGAGGCTCGAGCTCGCCACGTAATTTCAATAAAATTTTGCCAAGTCAAAAATCCCAGTTCCTCGTAACATAATTAAATAAGACGCTCGTTATTTACTCGTTATTTAGTCATTATTACATTACGAAACCCGGCGTTACCGATTTGTGCACGCGCGCGCGCAAATGTTTTCCGATTAATTCAGCGGAACATGTTGCACGCGTTACACGCGCAAGGGGTGCCTGCATTTTTTTTTACATAATATATCGGATCTTAATTCCGCGGGTGACGCAACGCCATCGCATCGCGTCGTATCCCATTCGCGTAAGATTTCCCGCACACACACACGTTGTTAGATAACGGGATGGTCGTCGTTGTTTCGCCGTCGTGTACGAACAACAGAGATAAGTACGCCGCGCGATGCACGATTCCGTGCGAGAGCTAGGAAGAGAAGGATTAGCGGATTGCACAATTTGTCGCGTGATCGTAGCCGAATGGAACGTGTGCTTTAACCGTATATGTGTATTATGGCTGCTAGTTAGTATATCTATCCGAGATCTATGCAGATGCGCGATCCGCGAGCAGTTATCCCTCGTTTGCACCATCGGCTCTGTTTTCCAACAGATTTGTAGACAGGGATAAACGGAAGATTTAGACGTAAAATTATATTATTTGTTCGATATTTATAATTTTATTATCGCGTGTCTGGTCGAGTCACGTTTCAATTCTGATTCATATTTTAACCCTTAAATGCCACCCGGGTCCAGAGGACCCCAGACCCTTTACAATTATATATTTTCAAATGTTTCCGCCAAAAATGAAGCTCATGCTCTCTCTGATGATAGTTGAGTGATTGAACTACCAGTGTGTACACTTAGCAGTACTTTACTTAATTTTTTATACTATGTTGAAATTGAAATTTTAACAATATAAGCATTTTATTCTCTTTTCTAGACCTTGAACAACATTGAAAAAAATTTTCATAACTAAATATAAAAAAATCAATGAGTAAGGAGACATTTTTTATGCTGGGGTCTTTTAGACCCCTCATGTCATTTACGAGATTCTTGAGAGGTGTAGCATTTAAGGGTTAATATCTCAATATAAAAAATTAATCTGGTGAAGCCTAACAAAGTAAAGTTTTGAAATCAATTTCGAGAAACAAATTTTAACTGGCTTCAAAGAAAGTTCTAAGACGTGGAGAAGATTTTAATAAACCTTCTGTAATGTCATACACTGAGAAAAAAATGTTGTAAATTTGACTAAACTCGTTTAGTTGTAGTGATTTGTTTAATGCAAATATTAATATATTTAAATCAAATATACGTGAGTAATATCAAGAAATTCTGAATCTATTTAAATATAATATTTTTTGAATTAACAAATGTTAGCTTGACAGCCCGTGACCGCTGCATTTAGTTGAATCAAATAATATTTCTTTGAATCTACGATTTTTTTTTCTCAGTGTATTAACTTTGAAGTCACACACTCATATATCTGTATTTCTTAAATCTTATCTCATTTTTACGTTACAACTTAACATGACATTGATCTTATTTTAAATTGCCGTTTTTTAAAAAGTTAAAAAATTGTAAATTAATTAGTTTTATCTGAAAGTTAATGTTTGCTAGTTTCACGTTGTATAATTTTTTTTTAAACGCGAAGAGAAAAATTGGGTTGTAGAAAGTTAAAATAACTCTTAAGAAAATGATATCATTGCATTCACGAGAGAGTATGCAAAAATAGTAATGATTAAGTTCTGGGTAACTGGTTGTCATCTCTTTCGGCCGAGGTGTGCAGCTTAGATCCGGTTCCGCGAGCGGAACACGTGAGCCGCCGCCGTCGCTGCCGCCTCCTCGCCTGCATAATTAATTATGAAAATACCGGCAAAATGCCGGCAAAGACGCGTCGGCTTGTGTACCAGGAATACGCGCGCATCATACAGTTAATTAGAATAGGATGCAACGGGATCATTAATTCATCCGGCATTCTCCCGCTGACAATGTATCGGGAAACTCAGTAGTCATTTGCATGAGAGCGCATGTCGCCGTGATATGCCATCGCGGGAATCGTAAACGGGCGGTTTTACCCAGCTGCTGACGCGAGTAACGTGACTGCTACCCGTCCAGCAACGTCCAGTAACGAGACTTGCTAATGTCCGCGCGCGATTAGGACTTCGTGGTACATCATCAGCTCTCGCCTATCCTTCGAATCTAATTAGTCGCGTTTTCTCGTCGAATTGACGCGATCGCGCGGATGAGCTAACAAGAATGTAATTCCGAAGATACAAATTTTATGCACAATAGCTTGTGGCAATTTCCGCAATATAAATCTTACCGCAATGATAAGAACGAAAGAAATTATAATGTAACGACACCTATATTTATGATAATAATTATTATCGGATATAAGAATATATTTCGTCCGAACCTGATAATTTCATCAAGTGAAACGTTTAATATTTATTTCCTCAAATTTTGCAAAGCAGTTGTCTAACGTCTTTATACGTTCTCAGACAACTGTTACATCCTTGGTTGATAAGGTTCTTGAGATATAATTTACAACTAGTTTTGTGCACGCGCTTCTCCTCCTCGGTGACTTGATGTACGGCACAGCCGTGGCCTCGCGAACGTTGTAGAAACGATTTCGGAATTGAAGACGAGATAGCGCACGTAAAAACTATTCCACGCCCTCTCTCTCTCTCTCTCTCTCTCTCTCTCTCTCTCTCTCTCTCTGTCTCTCTATCGTTGCCTCAACGATACTTTCTCTTGCAATGACGGAACGCATATATTTATAGAGAACTCGTACGCGGCATGTAAACGGGGAGCCGCACAGCCGATAAACGTGTTGCGGCTGTTTGACATTTCTGCGACAAGTTTGCGGGGAGCAAACAAATTTAATTGTGGTTCGGAAGTTTAGCTTGTACAGTAATAAGGTCGGGAAAAGATTAGCTTGCAATAAAAGCTGCCTTCCACCTGAAAGATATGGTATCTGCATAAGACGATATACGTACAAATTATTTTTACGCAAAGATAATTTAAAAAGAAGTTTAAAGTCACGATAAATTAATTTAAAAAAATAAATATTATTTTATCTTTGTGTACCGTCTCTTATGTGACTTCGAATTTGGGTATGAAATCACAATAGAGTCACAGAAAAATAAAATAAATTATTAATTAAATGCATGTAGTATCTTCAAAAGTTCCTTTTTAAGATTTAGGTCTGTCTCGATAATACATGGCTAATTAAATTGATTGCATATCTATTTTTCAGCAATTAATTTTTGACTTAATAATGCGTACATTTTTAAATAGTTGTTATATATTTGGCGTATGTCTTTTTACCTTTATGGAGCAGTCGTTTTATAACATTTATTTTTATGTAGTAAATGTTATAAAGATAATAATACTGTAATAATAAAGAAACAACAAACTTATAAAAATAAATACTATAAGTATATATAAAATTAAGCATACTTCTATACTCGCGCGCGCGGATGAACTTCAAATATCATGAGTTATTTTCATATTATATAATTTTACATAGTATATTATAATCACGTAATATTGTATTATATAATCATATAATACTTATATAATCATATATTTTTATCAACTCCAGCTTATAATCTAACAATTTTAATGTTTTCATAATCCACTAATTATATAATCTTTTTATCTCTTAATAAATATCTTTGACAAGTAAATTTATTTGAAATATCTGAGTCTTTCAACTACCTAATTAAATTATGGTAAACATTCAAATATATCCATGAACGAGAAAACAAAATGAAA